ATAGATAGATAGATAGATAGATAGATAGATAGATAGATAGATAGATAAGTAGGTAGGTAGATAGAAAGATAGGTAGATAGATAGAGATAGAGATTCTCAAGGTATTAGAGTGACTCCTGGAAGAGATCTGTAATCACTCAAAGGATTTTGGTCCATCCATTCACACAAGAAAGACCAAGTGGATGAAGAATGTATATTGTCTGTATTTCAACATGCATCTCAGTTGATACCCTATAGGGCTTATCCAACATTTTCTCTCTCTCTCCACATATGTGTGTGTGTATGTGTGTATGCATATATGTATGTATATGTATATATGCATATACACACATACATATATAAATATATATGCATACACATATACTTATGTGACCCATAACTGGGTATCAAGCCTCCCTAAGCTTCAGTGTTATCATCTGTAAAATGGGGACAGTAGTAATCTGTAGTAATTACCTCATAGGCTTAGTGGGAGGATCAAATAAAATAATGTATGCACAGTGCTTTGCAAGCCTTAAAATACTATATAAATGTCACCTATTGTTAATAACTGTAGCTTGGAGAATTTGTCTCAACAAGGTCACTAATCTGTCACAGAAATAAACTTTTTCACTATAATAGTGAGTTTTGAAGAAAATAAATTGCATGTGAATTTGTCTCTGAAAAGCATCTATTTTCATCATAAGGTTGTCAATTTCAGTATTTCATATTGTTGTTAAAAGAAAATTTAGATATTCTATAGCTACATATGTATATATGTGTGTATATATGTATTTGTGTGTATATATACACATTACATGCATATATACACATCCAAAACATATGTAAGTATAAACCACACCAAAAGTTAGAAATGCAAACTCTTATATGCATAGCTTCACTGGGCAGGAGCAAAATGATCATGAGGGTTCACTTAATCTTCTAGGGTGTGGATTTACTGAAGGTGTGTCTATTCTGTCCTTTGCTCCAATTGTAGAAGTGAAACTCTTGCCTTCAGCTTTTGAAAATGAATAGCAGCAAGTTGTTTCCAATCATACTATTTTAATTCACTTCCCATCCCTTGAAGCCCAACTTAAATGCCACCTCCCTAACAGAGTACTCTTTGATCTCCACTACTCACACCAGTTTGTAATAACCCTTCCTCTTAGATCTTATACTAACATTAGCACTTAATATTGTATATTATTACTGTGTTGCTATCTTATCCCTTCCATAAGAGTAGAGGTTGATGTCTTATCTAAACATTTATGATACCTATATTATTGTGGTTTGCCTCTCTAAATACTAAGACTTTAAGTCATACACTAATACACTGTTGGTGCAATTGTGAACTTATCTAATCATTTTAAAGAGCAATTTGGAATTATACCCAAAGAGTTATAAAACTGTGATCCAACAATACCATTATTAGTTCTCTTTTCCAAGGTGACTAAGGAAAAAGGAAAAAAACCTATATGTTTTAAAATATTTATAGTAGTTTTCTCTGTGGTGGCAAATAATTGAAAACTGAGGGGATACCTATAAATTGGGGCATGGCTGAATAAGTTGTGGCATGTGATTGTGATGGAATACTACTGCGCTATAAGAAATGACAAGCAGGTTGGTTTTAGAAAAATATGAAAAGACCTGCGTGAAATAATGCAGAGTGAAAAGAGTAGAACCAAGAGAATAGTAAGAACAATACTGTTCAAAAGGTAACCATGAATAACTAAGCCATTCTAAGTAATATGATCATTGAATCAACTATGAAGGACTTATGAAGGAAAATACCATCCACCTCTAGAGAAAGAACTGATATATGGAAGTATGTATTGCATGGTTCTACATATATATCTGTATCAAATGTTGGTCTTCTCTAATATGGGGTTGGGGGAAGGAGACAACGAAGAAAGAAAGAAAGAAAGAAAGAAAGAAAGAAAGAAAGAAAGAAAGAAAGAAAGAAAGAAAGAAAGAAAGAAAGAAAGAAAGAAAGAAAGAAAGAAAGAAAGAAAGAAAGAAAGAAAGGAAGGAAGAAAGAAAGGAAGGAAGGAAGAGAAAGAAGGGTGGGAGGAAGAGAGGAAAGAAGGAAAGAAAGAGAGAAAGGAAAGAGAGGAGAAAGGAAGGAAGACTTTAAGTCCTAACATGTTAGCAAAATGTGAGTTATTACTATTATTGTTGTTATTAACAGTAGTAATAAAAAAAAGTTTGTTGTATGAATGTGTGCTTACAAAGTTGCTTGGTTTAACCATGGTAGAATCTGTCTGTTCTGTGATACTATTTATACTATCTAAGACTATTATATTTATAGCACCTATTGGACTGTAACTATTAACTGAAATATGGCTTCAAAACTTAATACCCCTCAGGAAAGTCAAGTAGAGAATCCTAGATCTTCCAAAGGTCATCTAGTTTAGTGCCCTATCTTCAGGCTCTCTGCTTATCAACCAATTCCAATGACTTCAGATGGGGATTTGGGATAAATAAATTTAGGATGGGGAAATGGGAAACAGTTATCTAAACAATAACTCAGGTATTTCCAGGAGGCTTGAGAGTCCAGAATACTACCTAACCAGACCTTTGGCCCTCCACCCTACTCCCTAGGAATTAATCTTTCTTTCTGTTTACTTCTACAAAAGCTACTATTACAGTTATTATTAAATGAGTTCCTTCAAGCATCTTAGAGATATTGTTCATGACTTTGCTTTTCCTCCTAATTATTATTATTGTTGTTGCTGTTATTATAAAGAAAAAGTCATTCTTCTCTTTTTCATCTTCATCTTGTTCATTCTTCATCTTGCTCAATGGAGATAGAAATGGTCTGGGAACAAGTTGCTTTCCTGATCTTATTGTCTTATATTCAATGTCTGCACACATGAATAAATAAAACTACTTTGTCTATTGTATTATTGTTGTTGGTGATGATAATAATGATGTAATATCAGCTCACATTTATATAACATTTTAAGGTTTACACATTGCTTTTCTCACAGCAGGCTTGTGAGGGGATGCAGTGCAAGATGATTGTGCCAATTTTTAGATGAAAAAACAGAGGTTTAGGGAGGTTCAGTGTGGTCGTGGGGCCAGGTTTGTAGAGGGGCTATATAATTTTGGAAAAGCAGTTTCATGGTAATTAGTGTCATTAGGATTACTCTGTAAATAAACTTTTATGTATCAGTGTTACATCCGGCACTAATTTTATAAAAATAAATAATTTCTTTCATCTAGGCAATTATTTCATATAAACTGGGTACCAATCCTTTAATAAAAAGAATCACAGAATATCAGAGTTGGAAGGGATCTTCCATAGGTCATCAGTTCAACCAGCAACTCACCAGGAACTTACCAATGGAAAGACACTAAGACATTCTACTATCAGTGCAAATTTTCCCTACAGTAAAAGAATCAGGTAACTATATTGGAAACAATTTAGATTATGTTTTCTTCCTTTCCCTTCAAAGTCACAAAGCTAAAAGGTAACAAGCATGGGTGCACAGAGGGAACAGACAGTAAGTTGGTGCAGGGTGTGCCTTCCACTTACCCAGAATTTCCAAATGCTGTTCCCGAGGGGAACGGGCTTTGATCTCCACAAACTCTGCATTGGTGTACTCCCTATAAATTGCCTTCTTGTACTGAGAGCCTATCCAGTTTTCAGTACGATTCATAAATATGTCCCCATGTCTACAAATGAGAAACACAAAAATTAAAGATGTTCCCAATTATATTGTTGTTGTCTTTGTCCTTTGTTCTCAAAGGGGACACATGATATCACAAGGGTGATATCTTGACTCGAACGATTTCTCTTTCAGGCATCTTTCTTCATACATTTGTTTCATATCTCTTGTAAAGTGATCCATTGTGCTACAAAACACCTTTAAAATGCCTGAAAGAGAATTGGATTTATATGAGGCAGAGCTGCACAAAGTCATCAGCCCCACTCTCTCCTCCAGAATCATCAAAGTCCAGTGGCAAGACAAAAGTCAAGATGACTTGGTGATGGTCTAGGATGAGAAAACTAAAATAGAGAAACTGAGAAGGATTTCTAGCTACAAGGATGATAGCAATCTCTACCTGTTCTCATGAACTTGTTTTGTTTTGTTTTGGCAGTGGGGGTAGGGGAGACAGGGAATGCCCTGGTTCTATGTATGCATGCATGTTTACATCAGGTATTTATATCCATTCTTTAGTAATCCCTCAAAAAGACTAACTGAATTCTGCCAACATTTAAATCTACAGACTCTTATCTTATTTTGTCCTTGTTTATGTACAATGAATTGTTTTCTAGTTGTTTCTTATGTGTAAATATTATCTCCCAAGTTAGATTGTAAACACTTTCTCAAAGGGAGATTTCTCTTTTCATCTCTCAGAGTATGTAACATAATGTTGGGTGTTCTTGAGGATAAATGCTTGTTAAATGGATGGATGTTGAATTCACCATATTTCAAAATTATTGTCAAAGGGATTCCTACTTTGAGGCAAGTCCCAACTCTGAGATTCTATGATTGTGTGAATACTTGTGGAATGAAACAAAGCATGAATAGATGACTTGTTCCAAAAGATAGGTCATTCTAATGAAAAATAGCTTTGTTATTAAGAGGGAAAAAAAGCATGACATTTCTTAAGAAATGAAAAAACTTTCATGAAAATAAATTTTTAATTCATTTTAGAAAAGAAGAGAACCATAATTAGTTAAGGTCTCTTGCATCAGCAACAGTCGAAATCATGTACTGGCACCACCAGTTCTAGAAAGAAAAGCTACTTGGTGAATTAATGAGTTAATGACTTAATTCACTTTTATTTTTTAAACCTGTGTTTTGAGTTTTATGGGGTCACTAAGGGGTGGTTCCCATTAATCCACGAGGTGGCACTGTTGTACTTGCGCTCCTCAGTAAACATGCAGCCCACAGGTCTGAAAACAGAATCACAATAATCCTCATCTCAGAGCTTGAAGGGCCATTGGAGGCCTTCCAGTTCAACCTATACGGAAGCAGAAACACCTTCTACGATATCATCCACCTCCAAAAGAAGGTAAAAAGCTCAAGAAGGAACTGAACTTTACTCACAGAATAGGGGCATTTGAAATAAAGTACCTTAATGTACTGTGTATTTGTGGAAGTGGGTGTATATAAGCAGTGTATGTAAGTATATAAGCAAGGGACACAAAGACAAAAATGAAACAGTCCCTGCCCTCAAGGAGCTTACATTCCATTGGAAGAGACTACATGTTGATAGACATGCTTATGTAAACTATATTAATAATAAATGTAAGGTAATTACATAAGGATTTATTAATAGATTGTGTATGGGGTATGCATATATATAGACACACACACATGCATATATATATGTATATATATATATATATAATTATAAGCATCGCACACATCTCCTCCCCAACCCTACCCCTCACCCCTGACTCCCCCAGTCTCCCTCCTAATTCCATCTCCATCCAGGCTAGTGCCAGTCCTCCAAACTCCCAGCTCATTTTCTGTTGAATTCTGTCCACTTCAGCCTACCTTTCCCTTCCCTTGAATCTATTTCCAAGGTGTCTGAGAGTTCAGTCTTTTTTTTTCACCTTCCACCTAAAGTATTACAGAGTCCCAAGACATTCATCCACTGTGAAGTCGCCTTTCTTGCCATCCAGTCTTTCATCTCTCTATGCTAACGCTCTATGCTAACCTTTCACAGACAGACACTGACCATCATCCAAAAGTGCTAGTACTAGGCATGCCCACCAGGAAAAACGTGCTCACATGAAGGCATTCTAGATCCCTTTCAAGGATAGGAATTGGCAGTTCTCATACACAGTGAAGAAAAATAAAAGTCCTTCTCAAAATTCTTACTCTAAAGCCTATAAAATCAATGCATCTTAGGATTTCTATCTTTTAGCAAATTCTAGCAAGTGTTCCCATTAGTCACATGGCCACCCACTGGCTTGGTCTTTGATACCTTTCTCCTCCTGCATCCAAGTGATGTTTTTCAGTCTCCCAATTTTTGTTAGGTGCATAATCCCATTCCAGCTCTTCGGCAGCAATGTAGAAAGTCCTTATCATTCCATAGGGCTTCTCCAAAACTGCCATGTTGCCACAGCCACTGACTTCATACATTTGTTTCATACCTCTTGTAAAGTGATCCATTGTGCTACAAAAAACCTTAAAAATGCCTGACAGAGAAATCATTTTGTATTTGTGTAAGTGGTTACTTGATTTTGTTTTCAAGAAATCTAAATATTTGTCTCCATATAAAACTTAACCAATCTGAAATCATCTAGTTTAGCCACAAAATGTTTCCCAGTTTGGAATCCATTTATGATAAAGAACTTTGCTGCTATAAAGCAATTTGTCTGTGTCTTTTTTACTGTTAGTATTTAATGAATATATAAGTTATTTTTGTGTCATTGATAGAATATTTCTATTTTGGATCATTCTACTATAGTACCTCAGTTCTAAGACTCTGAAATCATGTGTTTTCCCCTAAAGGCAAATGTATTATTTTACAAAACCTACAGGAAAGGGAAGTTTTCATTACTGAGGCCATGAACACATTATGCCAGAATTGGATGAATTATAAAGATTAAAAGGAAGATCAACCAACCAGTTGTTTTATACTTGATATAAAAAACCTTAACTGATTTGTTAAGCTGAATTGTAAGCTTATTATTATCATTAATCATCACCATTACTGTTTTGCTAAATTAGCTAGATGTTTTGGTAATTTGTAAACACAAGCTAATCAATCACCATCAAGTTATCTTCTTTGCATCAATCTATATATGCAACACTTTGATTAACAGGGTGAAGTAGAGGTAGAGGCTCTATAAAAACACCTTTGGGATAAGCAGCTTCTATTGATATTACTATTTAATCGATCGGCTCCATGCAATGCTCAGATGCACCCTTTCCCAAAAAGGTGTTTGATGAAGATGTTTCTGGGGATACAGAGCAGGACAGAGGCCCTCATAGAATCTTTTTTGCAGGGCCCCAGAATACGAACTTAGGAAACTGACAACAACCTGGTAGGACTTATGCAATGATCTTTTCAAAGATTTAAAAGGAAATACCTGGTGTGGATAAAAAAAAAAAAAAAACTCTTTTAAGTACTATCTTAGCATTCTTACTTGTTCAGCAGAGAATGAGGGATAGGGATTGGTGAAATGAATAATTTCTCAAGTATCAGGAAATATGTTTGGCATATCCACTGCAAAATCATTAAGGAAGCTTTGAAAATTTTGAAAAGCTTTAAAAAAGAAACAAGAAATCAAATGAAATAGAATGAACTGCCATAAAAGATAACAAATTCCCTGCCATTGAAGGTATTTAAGGAAAAGCTAGAAGACCCCTTAGAATTGTAGATTTTGAGTTGGAAGGGACCTTATAGGTCATTTAGTCCAATTTAGTCCAACCCCCTCTCATTTTTGAGATAAGAAAACTGAGGCCCAGAGAGGTTAAAGAAGGTACACAAGATGATTCAGATAGTAAATGACAAAGCAAGGATTTGAATCTTGTGACTGATACTATAAATGGGATTTATGTTATCAGATAGGGCATTGAACTCTAATTACCTCTAATGTCCCTTCCAAGTATGCGATTCTGTGATACTATGATTTTAAGAGATTAAGGAATCTTATTTCAGACAATAAGAATTGAATTAGGACCTAAAATGAGTTCTACAAATCTTGTAAAAATATTTGTCGTTATAAAATCATAAAATTTCCATGTTGGAAGGGATCTCATTTGGTCATTTAGTCCAATCTGTAGCTAATCAGAAATCCCCTCTATTGAATTCCTAAAAAGTGGTCAGCCAGTCTTCTCTTGATGATTGCTGGTGATAGGGAACTCACAATTGTCAGTTCAACCCATTTTTGGTTAATTCAGTAGCTAGGAGCCACAAGGGATATATCACTGAGCCTGAAATCAGGAAGACCTGAGTTCAAATCCAACCTCCAACACTTACTAGCTGTGTGACCCTGGGCAAGTCACTTAACCTCTGCTTGTCTCAGTTTCCTCATCTGTAGAATGGGGAGAATTATAGCACCTGCCTCCCAAGGCTGTTGAGAGGATCAAATAAAAAAAATTGTACCCAGTACTTGGTATATAGTAAGTGCTATATAAAAGTTAGCTACTGTTATTGTTGTTGTTATTATTAATTCTAACTGAGAGGAAGGTTTTCTTTATACTGAATTGAACTGTCTCTGCAACTTCCATTGTTCCTAATTCTGTCCCGGGCCCTAATTCTGGGGCCAAGCAGAGCAAGAATTAGTGGGCTCGCAGTAGCTAGCTACCCCAGGGAATGACACTTTTACAGGCCTCCCCTCCACCCTCACCCCCAGCCTTCAGTCCTGAAGAGTGGAATTTGAGGAAAGAGCTTTGTGTTGGAGGCTTCCCTCTGGCTTGGGAGTCACAACTGATCCGCTAGTCCACCAGAGATAGGTTAAAAACTAGGACTGCTTACAAGGCAGAGATTACGGGGCTCCTAGTCTCAGCCAGATTTTGTAGCTCAAGCCTCGGCTACGTACTGTTGACAATCTCTTCACTGACGATCCTGAGAGGCCTCTAAACAGCGATTCAGTGTTTGGGGCAAAGAAGCAAAATGTCCATTAATAAATTGACACAGCGGCAAAGGCTCCTTTGGAAAGGCAGATTGATTTCTGGACACCACGTAGGTTCAGTGCTTAGAGGATGAGAAATTTGCTCTTCAGTGTTTCTGTCAGTGCTGAGCCTCCATAGCACTTACTAACTCTACTGCTGACTGGCTCTTGGACGCTACTCTGATAGACTGTCAGCATTCAGCTCCCTTTCTAAAGGCAGGGAGCATGTCTTACATCTCTTTGTATCCTCAGCATTCACTACCGTGCTAGTAGATGTTCATTGTTGCTGAGAATGATGGGATTGAAGTATGACACAAATGAAATATCTACTCTAACCCAATAACTGTTTATTCTGTTCAATCATTTCAGTCGTTTCAGACTCTTCATGACCCCATTTCGGGTTTTCTTGGCAAAGATCCTAGAGTGATTTGTCATTTCCTTCTCCAACTCATTTTACAGATGAGGAAACTGAGACAAACAGGGTTAAGTGACTTGCCCTGGGTCACACAGCTAGTAAGTGTCTGAGGCTGGATTTGAACTTAGAAAGATGAGTCTTCCTGACTCCAGGCCCTGTGCTCTATCCAGTACACCACTTAGCTGCCCGAGTATTCATTAAATTCCAGCTATGTGCAATATAGGGCAACCAGGTGGTGCAGTGGATAGAAGGCCAGGCCTAAAATCAGGAAGACTCATTTTTCTGAGTTTAAACCAGCCTCAGACACTTTCTAGCTGCGTGACCCTGGGCAAGTCACTTACTCCTGTTTGCCTCAGGTCCTTATCTGTAAAAAGGAGTTGGAGAAGGAAACAAAAAATCACTCCAGTATCTTTGCCAAGAAAACCTCAAACTGGGTCGTGAAGAGTCAGACACAACTGAAGAATGGCTGAACAACAATGTGCCACGTATGGTAATAGGCATTGGAGACAGACAAAAATGAAACAGTTCCTGCCCTCAAACTATTTACATTCTGTTGGGGCTTATTCTGTTAACATATAACTATACTCAGGATATTTTAAGAGAAGAGTTCCAACTAGTGGGTGGTGGTGGTGGTAGTGGTGGAAGGAGATCAGGAAAGGCTTCCCAGAGGAGGCAGCGTCTGAGCCTTGAAGGAAAACAAAGGATTCTAAGAACTGGACATAAGGGATACATTCCAGGCAAAGGGGATGGCTCATGCAAAGGCATAAAGGCCAGAGATAGATGCTGAAATCAAGAAAGAGTAAGGAAGCCAGCTGGTTTAGAATGTAGATTGCATGACAGGAAGCAGCAGTACAAATGCCTAGAAAATGAGACTGGAGCCAAATGGGGAAAGATTTTACAGATCACTCTGAGGAGTTTGCGCTTTCATCCCAGAGGACGCTGCTGAAGGTTGCTGAACGGAGAGCCTGGTGGTCAGACAGACTTGTGCTTTACAAGGTTTCTCTGCCAGCTGTGCAGGGGGTAGGCTGCAGAGGGGAGATACTAGAAGCCAGGAATCCAATAAGGAGGCTACTACAAGAATCCAGGTGAAAGGTGATGAAGAGGGCCTGATTTACAGTTATGTGGGCAGAGAGGAGGGACTGAATGCAAGATACATTGTGGAAATAGAATTTTTAAAATGTAGTAACCAACTAGATAGGATGGTGGAGAGAGAGGACAGGGTTAAAAAGTCAAAGATGACCCCAAGGTTGCAAACTTGGGTGACTAGAAGTATGGAGGTGCTCTCCACAGAATTAGGAAAATTTGGATAGAGAGTGGGCTTTTAGGGGAGAAGAAGATAGTATGTTCCATTTTGTACATGTTGAGTTTGAGATGCCTACAGGACTTCCAGTTTGAGATGTAAAACAAACGGCTGGTATTGTGGGACTGAATCTCAAAGACAGATTGGGGCTGGATATCTATCTATCTATCTACATGCAGATAGATAAATGTATATCCATATGTATTGCATACACACCTGTATGTATATACACATATTACATATATATATGTACATATTCATGTGTGTGTGTATATACATATATACGTCATCATCACAAAGGTAATAATTGGAACCCATCTGGTCTTACCAAGAGATGGTAAAGAAAGGGAAAAGAAGAGAACACAGGACAGGGCAATGGGGGAAATACAGTTAAGGGGTGAGACATGTTTTATAATCTCGTAAAGGACACTAGGAAGAAGAAGACAGACTGGTAGTGGAGCAGAAGACAGCAACGTTACAAAAACCCAGGAAGGAGATCCAGGAGGAGGAGGAGGTCAAGAATTTCCAAATGCAACAGAAAGATAAAAAAAAAAATGTGTACTGTGAAAAGGCCATTGAATTTAGCAATTAAAAGTCATTAGTAACCTTAAATAGTTAGCTTTGAGTCCTGAGGTTAGTAGTTGAAAAGTAAATGGGAGAGAAGCAGTTACCTGAAACTTAGATGGCAGTTTCTTAGAGTTTGGTTGTAAAAGTCAGTCAGTCAATTAGCATTTATTAAGTACCTGCTATGTGCCAGGCACTATTCTAAACCCTGAGGACACAAAGAAAGGCAAAAGCAGTCCCAGCTCTGGAGGAGCTCACAGTCTAGCGGGGTAAACAACACACAAACAACTATGAACAGGTAAGATCTATACATGATAAATTGGAGATAATCTCTGAGGGAAGACATTTATATTGAGGAGGACTGGGAAGTGCCTTTTGCAGAAGGTTGGGCTGTAGCTAAGACTTCAAGAAACTCAGGGAAGCCAAGGACATGGACATGAGGAAGAAAAGCATTGCAGGCTTGGGGGATGGTCAGTGAAAATGCCCAAGGTCCATAAATGGAGTGTGTACAGAAGAGCAAGGAAGCCGGGGTCAACACATTGCAGAATATATGAAAGGGAGTAAGCTGTAAGAAGATTGGAAAGTTTAGAAGGGGACAGACTATGAAAGGCTGTGAAGGCCAAATGAGGGATTTTATATTTTAGCATCCTTCTAGAAGTAATAGAGAATCATTGGAGTTTATTGAATATGGGGGTTGATAGGGTCCAATTTGCACTTTAGGAAGATCAATTTGACAGCTAAGTAAGGATGTATTGGAGCAAGAGCCTGGATAGAAGGAGACCAACCAGAAGGCTATTGCCTTATTCTGGGTAGGAGGTGATATGGGACGACACCAGGGAAGTGGCAGTGTCAAAGGGGAAAGATTAGTGCATCTAAGAGAAGTTAGGGAGAAAGAAGAGGAAATAGGAGGAAAAATAATACAATAGCTTGTAGGTCAAGAAAAGTTTCTTTAAAGATGGAGGGGACCTGAGCATACAGAGAGCAGGGATGGAGCCAGTAGGTAGGGAGAGATTGAAAATTAGAGAGATCAGGGGATGATTGAAGGAGCAAACTCCTAGAGGAAGCAGGAAGAGATGGGATCAAAAGCACAAGTAGAGGGATTGATTTAATAAGGGCACCTTTTTGTCAATGACTGGAGCAAAGGAGGAGAGAAGTGGGATGATGTTAAAGGGGTCTATCCTTGCATTTCTTTCTTCACCACATGGTGAAGTGTGGGATAGTGGAGAAGAAACTCACAATTCTTCACATATATGAGAACTTTCTTTAAATCCAACACCTATGGATTCTTTGAAGTCAGACACTGGCTCCCCTATGCCCCATGGGTAGATGAAATCCCATGGAAGAGTCCTCCATGGACTCCTTTGCCATAAGAAGTCTAGTAGCAAAGCAGTCTACTCTTTTTCTTAATTTTCCTTTCATATGTGTGTGTGTGTGTGTATGTGTGTGTGTATGTGTGTGTGTGTGTGTGTGTGTGTGGCAACTGGGGTTAAGTGACTTGCCCAGGGTCAGACAGCTAGTAAGTGTCAAGTGATTGAGGTCGGATTTGAACTCAGGTCCTTTTGACTCCAAGGCCAGAGCTCTATCCACTGCGCCACCTAGCTGCCCCAACGCCGCCTATTCTTAATGGACTATTGAGTCACTGGAGGATTAAATTATTAGAAAGCAAAATTCCTTGAATGACCTACTGGTGCTACTGGTCAGGAAAGACCTAGTTAGGCCAATAACCTGGTTGTCTGTGCCTCCTGAATGCTTCACGGCAGTATTGATGAAGGAATTTATAGTTGAGGAGAATAAAGAAAATGTGTGTCTCTTTAGGACTGAAGTACTAAGCTACATGAGATATGTCTTTTCTGGGAATAGGATTGCATCATTTTCAGGACTCTTTCATGGCTGGATATGGTTCCTGAGGATTTTCATCTCCTTACCAAAATAAATTCTAAATTAAAGTTTTAATCCTTTACCCACAGAAATCTCTAACTAAAGTTGTAATGGACATAACTAAACTCTAGCTGCCAGTGACATAAAAAGCAGTCATCCTATGCAGAGACCCCCATGGAGGCATAGAGCATAACAATTTGACCAAGTAAAATGGAACACACCAACCTACCTGCACGATCTGGCTGCATAAATGCTGTCGTGGCCATATGTGGAAATAGGGCCAAAGTATCCTTGTGAGTCCCTCTCCGATGAATAGTATTCCCTGGAAAATAAACTCCATGCATATCTGTGTCAGTACCCATTCCAATCATATGCCAGGAAACTTTATCGCCTTTGCACATATCCAGGCCCGGCTGATTGCCAAACATGTAACCATTTATAGCTGAATGAAAGAAAAAGGAGAAAAATTGTTGGAGACAATGCTAATACTGTGGGTGCTGAAAATACATTGGGGCATAATCTTAGTGAAAGATATCAACTTATGTTGAGTGAAAAATTTGCATTGAATGTCACTGATAAAAGTTTATTATAGGAGTTATTTAAGGAATCTATAAAATAGATAAAACCAAGTGTTGTTCACCAACAGAAATGTGGTTAAAGGATTTGAAGAGTTTTAAAAAGAAAAATTACAAGCTACATACAACCACATGAAAACATGCTCTAAACATCTAATAGTAAGAGAATTATTAATTAAAACAATTCTGAAGTTATGACTCACACTTTGCAAATAGGCAAAGATGATTTTAAAATGGGAATAATGTTGAAGGGGCTTTGGGAAGATGGTCATATTAATAATTGAGGTAGCTAGGTGGCCCAGTAGATAGAGTGCTGGACCTGGAGTCAGGAAGAACTGAATTCAAATCCTGCCTCAGACATTTCCTAGCTGTGTAATTCTTAGCAAGTCACTTAGCCTCTATTTCCTTCAATTTCCTCATCTGTAAAATGGGGATAGTAATAGCACCTATCTCCCAGGTTTGTTGTGAGGATAAAATGAGATATTTGTTAAGTGTTTCATAAACCTAAAAGTGCTTTGTAAATGCTAGTGATTATTGGTGTTAATAGTAATTATAACAATGATGATAATATAATTATTTGTTGTTATTGTTCAGTTATTTCAGTTGTATCTGACTCTTTGTGACCCCATTTGGGGTTTTGGTTGGCAAAGATATTAGAGTAATTGGCCATTTCCTTTTCCATCTCATTTTACAGATGAGAAAACTGAGACAAACAGGTTCACACAGCTAGTATCTGAGGCCAGATTTGAACTCAAGAGGATGAGTCTGCCTGACTCCAGGCACAGTGCTCTATCCAGTGCACCACCTAGTTGCCCAATGATAATGATAAGTGATACCAATAATAATAAATTAGTTATAGTAATAAGGATGATAGTAACATTAGTAATAATATTTGTTTGAACTCTGAGTTGATCCAACTATTCCGGAAAGTAATTTGGAATTATATAAGAAAATTGACTAAATTGTCCATATTCTTTTGACTCATCAGTTTTACTACTGGACATATACACCAAAGAGATCAAAGCCAAAAACAAAGCTCTGACATACATACCACCATTTTCATAGAAGTCTCCTTTGTCATAGTAAAAGACTGGAAAAAATTGAGTGCCCATCAGTTAAAGAATAGCTGTGACATATGAATTTAGTAGAATACTTTGGTGCAGTGAGAAACGATAAGTATGAGGAATTCCAGGAAACATGGCAAGATGTATCTGAACTGACGTAGAGTGGGATAAGCAGAAACAAAAGACACATTTGCACGTTGACTACAACACTATAAATGAAAATAATCACTGAAAGGAAGCCTAAATCTGAGAACTAAAAAGCCAGTGAAGGTCCTAGAGAACAGTTAGTGAAACATAGCTCTGTCCTCACAGAAGAGAGGCAGGGGAGGCAGATAGAGCCACTGTTACCAGATGTTTTTGCTTAAATGGTTTTCTTTGTTACAAGGGGTGATAAATCTGAAGAATTAGGAAAATCCCCCCCCCCCCGCTTTTTATTTATTTATTTATTTATTTATTTTGGCTGGGCTATGGGGTTAAGTGACTTGTCCAGTGTCACACAGCTAGTAAGTGTTATGTGTCTGAGGCTAGATTTGAACTCATTTACTCCTGAATGTAGAGCCGGTGCTTTATCCACTGCACCACCTAGCTGTCCTTCCCCCCGCTTTTAAAATACCTGTGATATGAAGACAACTGATGTCAATAAAAACATATGAAAAGAAAAAATATAAGCTTATTCATATCTACAATGTGGGTATTCTGTCTCACAGTTGAACAAAGCTAATATCAACAATAGCAAATAGCAAAAAGCAATGAATGTATTTATGGTAGAAGAATGTATGTTTCCTTTGTGAAGAACAATAATTCGTTAAAGTAGTTTGATAGGGTCATAGGATTTAAAACTGGAAGGGACCTTAGACATAATCTAGTACAACCTCTTCATTTTACAGATAAGAAAACTGAGGTTTAGAGAGAGAGTAATGATTGTATATTCACACTGGTAATAATTAGATTTGGGATTGGCCAACCAGCCAAGTTGGTCAACTAGAGTACTTTCTACTATACCACATGCTTGTATTTGAAAATTATCATAGAAATACATAAATAATAGTAATTATATCCTACATTTCCTCTATTACAGTCCTCCTTGGATGCCTCAACATAGCATAGAAGGGACTGTGTGTTCATACCAGCTGTAAGAAACCTCAGAAGCAATCTGGTACAATGCAGTCATTTTACAGATGAGGTAACCAAGCCCCACAGGGGGTAAGTGACTTGCCCTTGGTCATGCAACTAGTAAGTGATAAAGGTAATATTCCTAAAGGTTAAGCAAATGAAGCACACTGATTTGATATTATCATTAAAATACTAAAATTAGAGTCCTATGGGAGGGTAGATTCCTGCCAACTCCCCTCCAGTATGCTGGAAAGAGCACTGGATTTGGAGCCAGAAGACCTGGCTTTGAAACCAGGCTCTTGTATTTGCTACCCTTGTGACCTTGAGAAAATAACTCCTTGTTACTGGTCTTCAGTTTCCTCTCCTATAAATTGAACTTGTTGGACCAGATAATTTGTAAGGTACCTTCTACTTCTAACTGCCCTGAGTCACTGCAAAGATAACTCAAACACAAGCATGCATACATAAATATAACTACAAATGGAGAACAGCTGTACGTATTAATGTCTGCGTTTTCAAAGTTTTATTTCTTAATTAATAGAAATTTATGTTTCTTTCCCTCTTACCCACCATTCATTTAAAAAAAAAATCCTTGTAACTAATGTGCTCAATCAAGCAAAACAAATTCCCTCATTGGCCATCTTCAAAAAATATGTCTCATTCTGCACCCTGAGTCCATTGCCTCTCTGTTAGGAGAATCATGAATTATGAATGGTCATTGAGCTTATCATGGTTATTACAGTTTTCAAAGTTGTTTGTCTTTCACAGAGTTGTTGTAACTGTGTAAATTATTATTGTGGTTTCGCTCATTTCATTCTTCATCAATTTACAAAGTCATCAAAATTATCCATTTTTATAATGTTGATGTTATAGCATAAATTGTTCTAGTACTGCTCACTCTGAAGTCTGAATCAATCCATACAAGCTTTTTCATGTCTCTTTGAAATCGTCTATTTCCTCATTTCTAATAACACAATAATATTACGTCATATTCATAAAATAGTATTACACCACAATAGTATTACATTACATTCACAATTTGTTTGGCCATTCCTTAGTTGATGGACATCTCTTTAGTTTCCAGTTTTTTGATACCACAAAAAGCTGCTGTAAACATTTTTGTATTATAGGATGTCTTATGGAGTGGTTTAGCTAGGCTTAGCTAGGTCAACAGGTCTCTGTTTAATAACTTTTTATGTATGATTTCAAAGTTTTCCAGAATGGTTGCACCTATTCACAGTTTCACCAACAGTGCCTGTTTTTCCACAGTCCCTCCAATATTTGTTGTTTTACTTTTTTGCCTGACACGTAGTAGGTGTTTAGTAACTACCTGATTGACTGTCATTTTTGCCAATCTAATGGGTGTGAGTGGAGCCTCATAATTACTTTAATTTACATTTATCTTTTGATATCATCATTAATACCCAATGTGTATGTGTTCACCTTACATGTCTTACACAAGCTCACCCCTTTCATCTGCTCTGAGAGTTAGCAATTGCAGAAGAGATTTAAAATAAATAAACTCTGCCTTGTCCATGAACCTCCACTGGCAGCTTCTTAGCTATTAGTAATGATTATAGATTATCTCTTGCATCCCATGTTGTTATATAACCATTGAGGGTTATGTAACTGTTCGGTGTCATCTACCCATCCAGACGTCTTACAGGGCTCCATTCCTGATACTCTATATCTGGCACGGTCAGGGCTTTCATGACTCAAATACCTGATCCCCTCCTGTCCACATGTTCAATTCTTACCTACCCATCATTTAAAATTCAAGTGATCCCTCTTCCAGCTAGCTCTCCAGTTAAGCTCCTTTCTTTTTCACCACACCCAGGTCAGTTTCCAGACACTGCATGGCCAATACCAGAGACTATTTCCTGATTCCTTGAAATGGGTATGGAGAAGAACTGGCAGTGCATGCCCTTCCCCTACCCTCAGCTCAGGTGGTTCTTTAACCTTAGATAGCTTGACTTTCCTCCCACTGTCTCTTTGCTCATACATGTTCTCTATGCCCGGAAGACTCTCCCTCCCACTCTTGACCTCACTTCCTATCCATTCAGTAAGGCCAACTCAAATGCCACCTTTTCTGGAAAGCTTTTCCTGATCCCTCTTTTCAGCAGTGGTCTCCCTCTTCTAATTCATAGAACACATATAGCTACTAATCTAGCATCATAGGATCGTAGATTTAGAGCTGGGAGGGCTATATAGTCCAATCCATTCCTTTTACAAATAAGGAAACAGGCCTAGGAAGGATAAGTGACTTATCTAACATTACACAAGTGACCAAATAAGCATAAGAGGCCAGATTAGAACCTACATACTCTGATTTCAAACCCGTGCCTTTTCTACTATACCACAACACTTTTGTACATCTTGCTAAATTGCAAGTTCCATGCTAATGAGAGGCAGTATGTGATAGGGGACAGAGAACTGGCTTTAAAGTCAGGGTAGGTTCGAATAGCACCCCTAACCTATAGTAACTATGTAACCCCAAGTCACTTAACATCTCAGAGCTCTAGAAAGTTCTCTAAGACTATAAATTGTGGAACAGTTGCTGAATTTCATTGGTAGAGGAGGTTTCTTTGTGGGAGATTCTTTATATTAATGAAATCATAGTTCCAGACCAAAAAAAATCCTTTTTTTGATCTGAAGTTTCTATAATTGCAGGGATTGTGTCTCATCTAAGCTTTAGGTCTTCCATAGTGTCTTGGTAGGTGCTTAATACAAATTTACTGAATTGCTTTGAATATGTTGTAAAATAAAGCCACTAGCTAATAGGATGGATTAGTAGGTTCTCCTGCTGAGGCTGCCATATTGAGAATATTAGCTATAAAACTGGATCCTGTGGATTCCTCCTGTCCAGAGGCAGTTTTTCTTAGATCTTAAGTTCCCTGTAAATGAGCTGATTGATAGAAAATGGCTTGAGAAATTCACCACTCTCTTTCTTCCATAATTCACAGGAAGGTTTCTGTGGTATGGAACTAGTCATCTGACATTATAGGAAATACAGAAGGCCACATACTGTGGTGGAAAAAGGGCTGAATTTGGAGTTGGAAGACTTTAGTTTGATCCCTACCTTTGATACTACATTCATGGCCATGAGCAAGTGACTTACAACTTTCTAGGCCTTGGTTTCCTCATTTGTAAAAAGAAATGGTTGGACTAGAATCAGGGGTGGGGAACCTGTGGCCTGGAGGCTACATGTGGCCCTCTAGGTCCTCAGGTGTGGCCCTCTGACTGAATCTAAACTTTCCCTTAATAAAAGGATTTGTTCTGTAAAACTTGGACTCAATCAAAAGACTGTACCGTAGGACCTAGAAGGCTACATGTTGCCTCAAGACCACAGGTTCCCCACCCCTGGCTAGATGGTCTCCAAGTTTTCTTTCATCTCTAAATCTATAATCCTATGTTTGGCCATCCAGACGTTTCCCAGGATCAAGTTTTACTTATAATAAGATAAATTGCTGTTGTTATGACTGATATGAGAGAAAAAGACCACTTACTTAATGAATGTTTGCTGAATTAAATTACCGAAAATGAAAAAAATTAGTTCACAAATGAAGTTCTAGTTATACAGAGAACAAATGTTTTCCAGATGAATATTTCAAGCAATCATTGACTCTTGGAGTCTTAATCTTCTTGTGTTCTAATTCCTTTCTAATCCCTAGTAATGCTTGTTCTCTCTAGAGAAGACCCTTTCTTAACATATGCAGGATCACAAAAGAAGCTATTTAAATTAAAATATAGTTATAAAATATTTTTCTAAAAAATAAAAAAGTTCACAGACCCTAGGCTAAGTCTCCTTTTCTACTTATGTTCTATGATGCAAGGATGTATGAATCTGTATTGGATATCTCTAATTCTCCTGAAGCGTCATTGGACTTATTGTAAACACAGTAGAAGATCTTTTGTAAATTGTTTTCTGAATTTATGAGGGAAGGTTTTACTTCATAATTCAACAGAATACTTCTGCAGAAAAATTTGTGCCGTGCCATCTGAGGCTTTTACTTTCAGAAGTATTAATTAAGCTTTACAACAATCCTGGAAGACTGATAAATTACAACATAATCATTTGAAGGTTATGAATCGGGAGACTGAAATAACTTGCTAGTGGACAAGTACATCAAAAAAGAATCAAAATTACAACAGCTGCAAGATGTAGGTTTGAAATACCCAGAATATTTTATACTTCAAAGCAAATGGTTTTTCTTTTGAAGAAAATGACAGAGGTCATAAACATTGTTGGTACCATGCATTCGGTTGGATTTCACAAAGTCTTTATCCTCTTTGTCAACACCAAAGGGACGCCAGGTAAACTTCCGAATGTTTTCATCCAGGTACTGGCTCAGATTCTCATCAAAGACTGTGAAGAGTAGGTAGAATTCTTTGTCTATTCCTTTCTATAATGAAGAAAGAAACGAGTGCATGAAAAACGCATGACAAACAATAAAAAAGGAAAAATTCTTAGCATTTTTCCCCTTTAAAATTAAATGCAGAGTGCATCCTAACAGACATAAAGTTGCAGATTCAGCACCTTATTTTTCAAATAAAGGGTTCTGATGAATGTCAACAGTGTATCATTGATGGCTCCCCATGCAGAGGCCTTGTTTGGTGACAGTTAAAGTCCCTCTGTCCTCTCCCTTCCAAGCAAGGATGCATAGGAAAGGAGCTGAAAAAATACAGATGTATAGAATGCACAAGCGCCAGGTGTGGACGGGAAGGAAGAAAAATAGTAAGCAATAAAAAGAGTTCTTATAAACTGATGCAGTCTTCCTCATGAAGGCAGTACTAGTTGGTGAAGATCAATAATAGGAGGCTTGCCTCCACCAGCTCAAGGAAAATTACCAGGGAGGGAAGTGCCTAATTATTTCCTAATTACAAAGTGATTTTTTTTTTTGGTCTCTACTTATTCTTTACAATCCTGTGAGCGGTAGTAATTTTGATTTATTGGTTATCTGGTCCTAATCCGCTAACTCAATATTACCATTTCTGTAAAAGTCACATCAATCGAGGCAGGTAGGTGGTGCAGTGGATACAGCACTGGCCCTGGAGTCAGGAGGACCTGAGTTCAAATCCAGCCTCAGACACTTGACACTTACTAGCTATGTGACCCTGGGCAAGTCACTTAACACCAATTGCCTCACCAAAAAGCAAAAAAAAAAAAAAGTCACATCAGTCAATTGTCTGGTGGCTCCACTCATTCCTGTGACTTTGCAGTCCAGAACACCCCTCCCTGGCCACTATTCCCTTCTTGTTGGTATATGATGTTGTCCAAGGAAAGCTCATTAAGGGCATGTAGTACTAAAAAAAAAAACTATCTCTAGTACTTAGTGCAGTGTCTAACAGTTAGTAAGTCCTTAATTAATGTGTTTTTATTCATTTGTTCCTTCTTTTTTATGTGAATTTCTCAGTGTACCAAACTGAGTTTCCATCAGAACTTTTAGTGTATCTCTATTTCCTTCAGAACTGAGTGTTGGCACTATCCCTGCCCTTCCACAAATTATTTCATATATAGTCTGTATTTTGTTGTGACTTATTTCAGTTGCATCTGACTCTTCGTGACCCTATTTGGGATTTTCTTGGCAAAGAAATACTGGAATGGTTTGCCATTTCCTTCTCCACCTCATTTTACAGTTGGGGAAACTGAGGCAAACAGGGTTGCATGACTTGTCCAGGGTCACACAGCTAGTAAGTGTCTGAGGTCAGATTAGAACTCAGGAAGATGAGTCTTCCCTGACTCCAGGCCCTGCACTCTATCCATCGTGCCATGTAGCTGCTCCATATTTTATATTTACTCGTCTGTATACATGTTTCTGCGCAGTAAAATGTAAGCTCTTTGTACGTGGAGGTTGTTTCCTTTTTGTCTTTGTGCTTCCAGGACCTATTACTGTGCCTAGCACACATGGCTCATGATAAATGTTCACTGAATTGAAATTACTTCACTTTATTCTGGTGTCCCATTGGGAGCACGCAAAGGACTGTGAGTCAGGATCTTTTTCCTAAAAGTGCTGCTAACCTTTGCCCTTTCTCCAGACCACTTTCCATACAATAACTGCCAAAGTGGTTTTCCAAAAGCATAGGTTAGACACTTCACTCCCCTACTCAATCAATACCAGTGACTCCTTATTGCCTCTGGGAACAAGTACAAAATTCCTCTGTTTGGCATTTAAAACCCTTCACAATCTGGCCCCAACTGACCTTCTCAAACTTATTACATATTACTCCTCTTCATGCGCTCTACTATAGTGCAACAAAACTGGCTTTTTTATTATTCTTTATACACAGCTTTTTATCTTTTGTATTTGTTCTTTTGTGCTTATACCAGGGCAATGTTCTCTCTGACTAGATGAGGATAAGGCACTTGTATTTGTATCCCCAGTGCTAAGCACATAGTAGGCACTTAATAAATCTTTGTTGATTGATTAATGGATAGACTTGTGTGGGTTAGTGTGTCTCTCTTGTAATATGCCTGCTTGGGTCTGAGTCCAATATTTTTCTCAAGAGAGAATGGATCAGGGCATCTAGGTAGTACAGTGGATAAGGCACTAGCCCTGGACTCAGGAGGATCTGAGTTCAAATCTGGCCTTTAACATTTACTAGGTGTGTTACCCCACTGGGCAAGTAACAACCCCAATTGCTGAGAGAGAGAATGGATCCCTGCTGGGGGTCCTATTTGTTTAGCTGCATCTATTTGTGAATAATGGGTAAAAACTAGGAAGCATGCCTCCAATTAATCACACAAGGAGGGAACTTGATGTTGACTAGGTTGGTTAGGCTCTTGCCTGAGTGGGTAGCTGAGGCACTCCCTGATAGTACATTACCAGGGAAAGAACTATCCTTACTACAAGATTCAAACAATTTTTTCCTTTGCCTTGAGCATCATTCTCCCAGAACATACTTCATTCTCTTTAGGTAGAGATACTTGCAGGAAGAAGAAGGTATGGACTGAAATTCAAAGCTTCAAACCCACAACTGGATGCTTTTTCTCTTATGAATAGCACATTTATTGGCAATGCATATATGACCAATAAATTGACAAAATTTAGCACCATTTTCTAGCCAGAAATTTTATTTTTAGGGCTAATAATAAAGAGACTTTTAAATTACACACATCCCTTTGTCACTGAGAGGAAATATGGCTATAATGCTTAGAGTGTGGCATTTAGAACTTAGGACTCCCAGGAAATACAGGGAAGAAAATTCTAGTAGACCTTATAGACACCTACTAGGACAGAATTGTTTCTTTCTCTATCCTCTCTAATATTAAGGTCATCACAACTTTTGCCGGGATGTAATGGATAGAGTATTGGTCCTGGAGTCAGAAAGAACGGAGTTCAAATCCAATCTCAGGCATTTACTAGTTGTGTGACCCTGAGTAAGTCACTTAACCCTGTTAGCCTCAGTTTCCTCACCTGTAAGATGAGCTGGAGAAGGAAATTCAAACTGCTCCAATATCTTTGCAAAAAAAAAAATCTTAAAAGGGGTCACAAAGAGTCAGACATGACTGAAAATAACTACACAACAAAAGCCTACTATCAGGTGCAACTTGCTAGAACAGAATTGTTTCTTATTCTATTCTCTTTGATATTATTTAGGTCAGTTTGATTTTATCTATTTGAGGGAAGCTGAATAAGGTACCAAAAAAAAGACCTGACAAACGGAAAAGGGACAGGGGAAGTTATTTTCTGTTTCTATTCCCACTACTTACTAGCTGTGTAACCTTGGATAAGGCATTTCAAACCAAGTAAATTTAACAATCATTAAGTGCCTACTGCATTGATGTACCTGTGTTCCATCATCTTTTAGAGTGTTCCTTTTACAGATCAACAATGGCCCCACTAGACCAGAACTAGTGTCTTTGATTGGATCCACTGCTGAGAAGTACATATATGTCAAACAGGAGGGATCATCAACTGTTGGGCTTACACTTTCAGGCACCATCCACCTGTATGTAAATTTGTCACCTGGTTTTACATGGGCTCCCATCTTCTGAAACCCTTGGAAAAACAAAGTAAAATAATCAATTACACAAATAAAGGCATAAGAATAGAACAACATAAAAATCTCTCAGACCTATGTTCAATCCAGGCTGGAGTTCTGTCCCTGCCAGGGCTACTAATGGATATTTTGTTGAATGGTACTGTTGTTCTTGTTCTGTCTGAAGTGGAATCCAAGTAAAGTAGAACTACAGCTTTTTAGAAGCTTAAGGCAAGGTACAAACTGTTTTTTGATCCTTGATCCTGTGTTTTTGAGAGATAGGGGAGAAGGGCTTAAAGATGAGGAGGTCAGAAAAGAGTAAAAATGACAAATTTTACATTTCCCTTTTCCCCTTGTCCCTGAAGCAATCTGAGTTTTCCTAAGGACTTTTTACTATTGCCAGCAACAAGAAACAGACAATGGGTAAAAGCAACATAAATTCAATTCAATTTGACAAATATTTAAGTGCCACTGTGTGCAAAAGTACTATGTTAGCCATAATTCCTGCCCTCAAGGATGGCAATAGAAGTTAGAATGTGGTAAAGGGCATCGAAGAGGTCAAATAGTCATGCAAAGTTTAAATAAGCCTTAAGAGTCTCAAGAAAAAATGTGGGATTCAATGAAATGTAAATGGAACTAGACCCTAATCTTTCTAACTTAATGTTCTTTCTGCTTTACCACACTTAATCTGACTATTCACCCTAAAATTCTCATTTAATGCATTAAAGATCAGTTGGAAATAGGAGAACAACATGGTAGTTGTCCTTCTTCCTATTAATACACAGTTAAATTCCTCTAATATCCTTAAAATCTCAACTTGTTATTGATTCATGAACTAATCTAAACCATTAATTTCTATATTTATGTTTTCAGTTCCTCAACTAGAATCTTACCTAAATACTTGCTGATAGAATGGAGGTGGCCATGAGTTCTCCAAGACTATGCCAATAGAGCATAAGATCTGTCAAGTCTTACCGAAGTGGAAAGTCTTCAGATATGAGCCTAGTGATGGGCCATATATTGGTACACTGAGACCAGGTGTGCTAAACTCAGAGATCATCACCAGGTTGACCACAGGGTGATGTTTTTTCAGCCACAGCGGTTCTCAAAGTAAGTAAGAGAGAAGTTGCAATCTGCCTGTTTAGATGAAAAGCTCTCACTGATGAAATTCCATATTCTTTAAGTATTAAAGTATATTTTCAGCTGTAAAGTGTCTTGGATAAATGTATTCCCTAAGTTTATTACAGTTTATATATTTACTATTTATTTATTATTACTAAGTTTATTATTTGACTGTCGAGGTCTAAGTAGTCAGACTTCTGTAATGGGATATAGGTCCCTGAGACTTTTGGGTGAATAGTTCAATCCTTTATCTATGAATGGTGGCTATGGAAACTCCCCTTCTATCTTCTATCTTCATTTTGCCTTTGGAGGGTGTTCAAACCTCACCTTTTTCTTTGCTACTTCAGAGCTTGTTGTAAAGAGCTTTAACTTGTTACATTACCTACTTCATAGATAAGGATACATACACACACACACACACACACACACACACACACAACTATATATACCATCTTCTTAAGTTCAAATCACATTTGCTGTGGACAAGTCACCTAACCCTGTTTGCCTTAGTTTCATCATCCGTAAAATGAACTGAAGAAGGAAATGGCAAACCACCCAAGTATCTTTGCCAAGGAAACGCCAAATGGAGTCACGAAGAGTTGGGCAGACTGAAACAACTGAACAACAAGATACTTACTATACTACATTATACTATATATACACATACTATCATATCATACATTTTGTCATGTCATATAAACTTGTTACATTACATTGCATGATAATGTGTTACGTTATAGGAACAATTCACTAATTGTTCCATATGTATATGTCTTCTTTCTAACTAGGCTTTAAGTTCCTTGTGTACAGGAAATGTGCCTTTTACTTCTTTGTACCCTCCAAATGTTAAGGACACGATTGTAAATACAAATAAATAATAATTGCTACACATCAAAGACCATATAAGACTGATATGAATTGAATACAGAGTACACATGCATTCTATTGCCTTCACTCACAGTATCCTTATATTCCCTGTAAAACACTTCTTAACAAATTAATGCTTATAAACTATTATATAAATTAATATAATATAATTATATAAATAACTATTACATAAATTATATAAACTAATAAAACGAACAATTAGCAAACTAATAATAATAGCTACTATTTATATTGCAGTTACCATGTGCCAGGCACTGTGCTAAGCATTTTGCAAGCATTATTGCATTTGATCTTCACAACAACTCTGGGAGGTAGGTGCTATTATTTGCCCCAATTTACAGATAAGGAAAATGAGGCAAATGGGGGTTAAATGAGTAAACTAAGACACAACTCAGGTGAAATCAATGTAAAGCCATCCCTGACCCCACCAATACTCTAGCCTGCTCTCTCTGAAAGTTATCCTTCTTCAGATTTCTCATTATCCTTCCCCTAGATCTATCCTTTGCATTTTTCTCACTTTACTTCATATGCCTTGTTCCCAGTCATTTATGTACCTGTCTTTCTTCCTATTAGATGGGAAACTCTCTGTGTGCAGAGACTGTCTTATCTATCTTTATAGGCCCAGTACCTACTGTTGAAAGTGAATTTCTGGAGAAGCATAATTGGTTCCATTATGTTCTGTATTAACCATTTTGCTGTCTATGACCCTTCACAAACACCAGCCACTGCAGCTATTGTCCTTCAGTGTCTCCTTTTCTCATTTTATTGGTACAAAAAGACTTAGTTGCTGAAGGTGGAAGATTCCAGAGTCCTGGGAATGTCCTCCTCCCTTTTCCGGCCCAATGGGCAGTTTTCTTTAATTTAGTGAAACTAGCTATCTAAGAAGATAATTCCCTTATCTATTTCCTGTAGCAAATAATATACATTTTCTTTCAACAAATATACTATACTTTGTATGGCCACCTGTATCTTAACAATAGCAATCTTCTTTTTACCGATACAAGGTATAAATATAATATAATGTATATTTATATAATATATAAATATTGTTTGTTGAATTGTGAATGATGCATTCCCCATCAATGGAGATATGTGCAGAGTGCCACACTCTTAGTGTAATAAAACCTGCTTCTGATTCATTTTGGCTTATTGGTATTAGTTGAATTGATAAGTAAATTCACGTAACACAAAATAGTGCTTTGCTCCTAAAAGGAGTTTAATAAATATTTGTTGAATTGAATTGAGCTAGTGAAGCTGTTCATGCTTTGATCAGCTGCATTTGCACCAGCACTTACCATCAAGGTTTGGTGCCGCGTCAGATGCCTTGTTGTAGAACACACCATGGGGCAAAAAGCTATAGACCCTGTCTGCTTTGTTGGCAAAAGTCACTGTTATTGTATCACCCACCTCAGCTTTGATGACTGGGCCTGTGAGAGATTGAGAGTGGAGAGGAAAAAGTGAAAGGAGGAGAAAAGCGAAAGAGAGGGAAGGGAGAGAAGAATCTATTTAGAATCATCAGGTCTCACAACAGAAATCTGTCCCCTGGGTTGAAATATTTGGAATGATTTACTGTACCAAGTATTCCAAGATGGCTTTCTGCCTCAGACCGGCTCTTTCTTCTGGTAAAAGTTGCATCAATATACTCCACATACTGAACTTTCCAGTATTTTCCTCCTATCCTAGTTTCCCCTTGTGTGAAGAAAGGTTCAGATTCACTGTGAAAGGATGTGGAATGTGATTGAGAACATTTCCATATGCATACCAAATGCCTCAATTAAAACGCTTAAGCTCTTCATCTCTCTGACCCACCAGAAGAGATTCTGTCCAGGACCTGGGTAAGTATTCTTCAACCAAGTCCCTAGGGACATTGAACCAAAAAGGCTGGTAGAAGTTTGGGAACATTTATACCCTAGCAACTCAATCCAATTCAATAAGCATTTATGCCTACTATGTTCAAAGTAATAAGGGTACAAAAACAAAATGGATAACTGTATTTGCCCGCAAGGACTGGCATTCTACTGAGGGAATACAGCATTTAAGCACATAAATGAATATAACATAATTTGAGGAGGGTGAAAAAGCACTAATAACTAGGACAATCAGCAAAGATTTCTGTGGTACCTGGTTGAGACTTCAAGGAAGCTAAAAATTTTAAGGCTGGAGTTCTTAATCTCTTTTGTGGCATGGCTCCCTTTGGCAGTCTAATGAAGTCTATGGACCCTTTCTTAGAACTACGGCTTTAAAAACATAAAATAAAAGACTTATGATTACAAAGGAAAGAAATTACATTAAAATGCAGTTATCAGTGTATTTTTTTATTACAAAATAAAAAGAAGTTTTTATACCCCAGATTAAGAACTCCTGTTTAAAAGAATGGAGGTAAGGAGGGGATACATTCCAGGTATTCAAGACACCAAAGTCATAGAGGTGGGAGATTGAATGCCAAGATCTGAAAACAGCAAACAACAAATAGGCCAGTTTGGCTAGAACTGAGAATACACAAATTCAGCCATGTGAAGTAAGTGTAGAAAGGTAGACAGGAGCAAGACCATGGAGGGCTTTATGTGATGATACGTGTGGTAGCCATGGATCCACCGAAGGAAAAAAAATGTTACACCACTGTCCTTCACAGAGCTCTAACTAAAAAGGAATAACTCCTTCCTTATCAGTAGGGATTGGATCCAACAAGATTTTATATTATGATGATTTGCATATATGTTTGTCTTTCCACTAGAATATAAGTTCTATGGGGGTAGGACCGAACTGATCTTTGCCTTGCACAGTGTTCTGTATGTAATGGACATTTGATACATCTTTTAAAAAAATTAATTCAACAAACATTTGTTAAGGTTTTCTATAAAGAAATAGATAAATTTTCTTTGCATAACAAATTCTCATTACCTCACATTGAAGTTAGTACTGATAAATTCCTAATTATCTGAGATCTCACTCCTCTACTCAAAACTCTTTCATAGATTTTTACTGCCTACTAAATAGGATTTATGATATTACTGATAATTGAATATTCTGATTAAAATTTCACACGAATTACTTATCTTTAAAGAAGTATATGATAATGTATTTCACTCTAAAATTGTACTTACCATAGGTTTGACACAGAAACTTGCACATGATAGATACTCAATGAATATTTATTTTTCTTGAATGACTGGTTGAATTCTATGCAGGCCACCATATATGCTGATGAAGTGTAGCACTCTCATGAACCAAATTTAATGTACCAAATCCTAGCCATCATGGTCTGAACCAGAGTATCCTTTGTCTTTTCATTCAACTGTTCAATGAGATTCTGCCAACTTCTTTTCGTTGCCTTACCTTTAGACCAGAGGTTCTTAACTCTTTTTGTGTGCTATGGACCTCTTTTGTCAGTCTGATGAAGCCTATGGACCCCTTCTCACAACAGTGTTTTTAAATCCATAAAATGAAATACAAAGGATAACAAAGAAAACCAAATTATATTAAAATCCAGTTATCAAAAAATTTTTTTTAAGTTATTGGATCCCATATAAGAACCCCTACTGTAGAACTAGATGTAGTAGGCAAGAAACTTTGTAGGGAGGTATTTAGCTCTCCAAAAGGACACAACAGATTTTTCTTGCAAGAATCTTTAAAAGTATCTACCCTAACAGTAATGACCTAGCAAAGCACAGAAACTTACCTGCCAGTGGCATTCAAGGGCAGGCCACTGTACTTATTGTAGCCCTGAGGACCATAGTTCCAAAGAACTTTTTCTGCAGCAATAAAGTAACTTCTCTCCCGGCCTTTCAGTGTGGGTTGATAAATATCATTTGTGCATGTTCTGACATTATATTGTCCCAGCATACCCGCTGTATAACAGAAGAAAATTATGAGTCAAGTATTGCTGATGGCTAATTGTTTTTAAAGAGTTTTCTTATATTGCCAATGGTTTTCAGGGTGTATTATTACATTCCAAGAAAAACCTAAAAGCCGTCTATAATCAATATTTGCTAAACAAGCTTAACATTAGCTTGAAGGGTCTTGCTATTGTTAAAAGGTGATGGTTTAATGATAAAAAGGTCACAAATTTCTGCTTATTTTTCCCAGATCATGAACTAATATTAAAACTAGCTAGGTAATGTTGACATATTTCAATTTTTGCAAGAACCCAACCAGGTACAATGGACAATGGGAAAATCTACCATCTTGGACACAGTGGCACAGTGGGTGGAGTTGAGTTCAAATTTGGCATCAGACACTTACTAGCTACATGACCCTGGGCATGTCACTTAAGCTCCATTTTCTCAACTTCCTCATCTGTAAAACAGGGATAATAATAGCTCCTACCTGACAGGGTTGATGGGAGGATCAAATGAAATGGTGTCTATAAAGTACTTGGCCAACTTTAAAGTGTTATATAAATGCTAGTGATGATTTTTATTGTTGTCATTATTATTATTATTAATATTGTCCAAGCCCCAAGACTGCCTAAGAACCTATCTCAGCAGTGAGAAGACCTGCTACTATTTACCCTTGTGGATACCTTGTCTTTCCACTTCAGCCCTGCCCCAAGACAGAAGGTCTTTGAACATATATATACATACATACACACACACACACACACACACACACACACACATATATATGTGCATATATAGGAAGGTCTAAGTATATACACAAATATGTACATGTATAAGATCTTTGTATATAATATATACACATATATAATAAGTTATTTAAAAGAATTTATGCATATAAACAAATGTGCATATATAAAAGGTCATTAAATATATATAAATAATATAAACAATAATAAAATGTATAAATATATTTTAATAAATATATGAACAAATTTTTAAAGACCTTCTTATATATTCATATATGTGTGTATGTATCTATGTATATGAATGTGTGTGTGGGTGTGTGTAGTTGATTGGTTATTGTCCTTCATTATCAAAGAGGACCAAAATGACATTACTAGGTGGGTTCAAGGTACAATGTGTCCAACTGTGGCTGATCAGACGAATGTAAGCTTGGAAGGCTCTACCACAGGTCAGACAAAAATCATCCATCTGAACATTTGGAGTGGAGATATATCTAAATTTGTGTATCTCATGTTTCTTTTGAGCTAGTGCAATTCTGCTTTGCTCGTAGAATGCAACACCATCTTTGATGTGGGCACATCATGCCAGGCGGTCCTGTGCCAGTGTCTCCCATGTCTCACAATGGATTCCAAAATTCTTCAGAGAGATCTTGAGAGTATCCTTATATCCCTTCTTCTGAACTCCATTTGAGTGCTTGCCTTGTGTAAGTTCTCTATAAAATATTATTTTATTCTTTTTTTTTTAATTCTAGGCGATTGGGGTTAAGTGACTTGCCCAGGGTCACACAGCTAGTAAGCGTTAAGTGTTCGGTCTGAGGTCAGATTTGAACTCAGGTCCTCCTGACTTCAGGGCTGGTTCTCTATCCACTGTGCCACCTAGCTGCCCCTATAAAGTATTATTTTAGGCAAACATTCTTTTGGCATTCAAACAACATGGCTCTCGAAGGCCTTGGAGGGTCTGAACCCATCTGGGATGCTTGACTGCTTCCCTAACTTGTCTGAGGTGGGAATCACCAAATCTGTGTCTTCTGATAAAATGGAGGACCACTAGGCTTTACCAGGTATTTTGCCATTGCCTCCTAAGATCCTCTATGATTAACCATGTGTTCTGTCTCTGTTGCCTATAGACCACAGGCATCATCATCTGACCTATAGTGTCTAAGACTTTAAGGTTTTTCCATCTGCCCTCCAGCTGAACTTTCTTTTATATGCTGTCTCTCCTAATTAAGGGGTGGGCTCCTTAAAAGCAGAGACTATATCACTTTTGTATTTGAATCCCTAGGGCTTAGCATGGTACCTTGCTTGTTGATTAATTGATTTATCTTCCATAATAGGTTATAACAGCTTAAGGGGGGAAACACTATCATATATCTCCTTGTGTACCAAAGGAGATTGAATTCTTTAGGGTTAGAAGATGGTCTTGTACTAAATAGTCATTTAATAAATATTTGCTAAATAAATATTGTAACATATACACATATTTATGCATGTATATATTAATGTATGTCAGTCCTGTCTCCCTTTGTAGCAAGTTTTAATAAGCAAACCATCTAACAAAAAATTATATGTAAGATATAATATATTATATCTACTATATGTAAGATATCATGTGAGATATTGGGGATTCAAAGACAAAGGATGGAAGTTCCCATATGTAGTTGCTCACAGTCTAATGGGAAGGATATGATATTTGGAGGAGAGGATGCTCATACATATCTGGCTTTGATACAGTGTCTGATCAATGAATGCTAGTAATTGGTGGGAAGTCACATAGTATAATGGAAAAGGGTGTCAGAGAATCTGGGTTCACATCCTTATTCCATCACTTAGTACCTTGTGACCTTAAGTTAATCATTTTAACCTCTTTGGGACTCAGTTTCCTCATCTGTGAAATAAAGGAGTTGTACTAGATGAGCTCTGGCATGTCCCTTGCAGCTCAAAATCTATCTGATTTGATGAGTAGTGATCCCATGATTGTCAAATTGAGTGGATTGTAACTTTCTGTGCTTCCCTGTCAACAGTCTCTATCTCTTTACCTTGCAGGTGGTCACTGACTTGGCAAGTGATCATCCACTTCCCAGCATTCTCAGCTATCATTTCTAAGGTAAGGAAGGTGGCCGGGAACAGGTTGACAGTATCAGTCCGATGTCCTCGGCTGAGGAAGGTGTTCCCATAAAAGTAGATGGAGTGGATGTCAATCTCATTCCCCATTCCAAATAAGTGCCAGGACACAGAGTCTCCTGTACATATCTCCGGCTCAGGGAAGTTTCCAAAAAGATAGCCATTAAGAGCTAGAAGAGAAAAAAGAAAAAGAAAAACCAAAGGAAACAGAGACTTTTAGAAAGTAAATAGACTCTTTTGCTGAAGCATAAAGTGGAAATATTTCTTATTTCAATTTTTTGAAAGATTAGGTTTGAAGGGAGTTAGGCCCTTCACGCAGCACGCCAAACGCAAGCAAACAAAAAGAGAAAGGGAGGCTAAAACAAACGTACTCATACTAAAAACCAACCAAAAATTTTTAAAAATTGGAAAAACAGCGTCAATACTAAGTACTAAAAATTCCACAGAAAAACTGAATCAACAATGGGAACTAAACAAAGAAAGCATGTGACGTCCCCTGAGGGGTGTCTTCAAATGGATACAAAAGAAAGAAACAAGCATTTTATTAAGCACCTGCTATGTACCAGGCATTGTGCTAAGTGCTTTCCCATATTGTTTAATTTGATCTCCAAGACAACTTTGTGAAGTAGGTACTATTATTAATTCCATTATCCCCATTTTATAGTTGAAGAAACAGGTAAATGGAGGTTAAGTGCCCAGGGTCACAGTAAAGCTAGAAAGTGTCTGAGGCCAAGTCTCCTTGACTCCAGGCCCAGCACTCTATCTACTACTTCACCTAGCTGCCAAAACATTTTAAAGAATTTAATCAAGAATAGGAAAAGGATAAGAAAATCACATCAAATACAAGAAGGGTTTGAAGTAAAAAGTAACGAGGAAATGGAGTGAGAAATAAGATTCCAAAATAGATTAAGAGGAAATAATTTTTTAAAAACAGTATGGCAAATACAAGAGAAAATTTCCCACATTCTATATATTCCATCAACAACAATGGAAAACAGAATTGTACACCATGCAGAGCAGTTGGTAATAGAGGTTTAAGACATCACTGAATTGTCCAGAGATCAGGGGTGGGGAACCTGTGACCTTGAGGCCACACATAGCCCTCTAGGTCCTCAAGTGTGACCCTTTGTCCTGCTCCAAACTGTGGGACAACATGTGTACACAACTGATGGACCAGGACAACAGATCATACTCAGCAATCTCAGGATTGTGGGCATCACAGAGAACTAAGGAAAATAAAAGAAAATGAATATAGTATTTGAGGAAATTCAATACATTTTGCCAAAATTTGATAAAGCAAGAATTAAGTCTACACAGGATAACAACAATATTTTACATGCCTAGACAATTTTTTATTAAATTCCGACACTACATTGCTAAGGAAAAAAATACATTACAAACAACTTGAAGTGAATAAGTCTGTTAGAGGAACAATAATTATGAAGAAAATGGAACTTGGAAGGAGAAAAACATAGGATTACAGAAAAAGGAATTCAACATTTACAAAATTAAGAAACTCGGCATACTCTATGAAGGCAAGAAATGGTTATTTGAGAATCAGCCTTTGAATGATTTTCAGAGAGCTGTAAAAATTTCAAAGAAATCTTTGAAAAACAAATAATCCTCCCAGAAGAAGATAAGTATTTAAAATAACTCAAACTTCTCAAATCAAATTAAAAGAGTTGTTAATAAAATGTGAGAATAGAGCTTAAAGCATTTTGTACTGGTTAAATCACTAAAGGTATCAGAAAGATATTTCAGAGAAATAATAAGAAAAACATTCAAAGGGGAAAGCAGAAAAGGCAGATAATTCCAGGGCAAACCTCTGCCTTGCATAAAATAGAAATGCAAATTAAAATAACCTACAGAGTTATTAATGTTACAGAAGAACTTTTAAATAATGATTCCATCCAATATGGACTAATATTAAAAAGAATTAAAATAATTTATTTCCTTACAATAAGACTAATGAAAAGACAAACCTATTAACTGTAACATGAGATATAAATGAACTAAATACTTCCCCACAGAAAAGGCAAAAACAGAAAAGAGGTACAGAATGAATTAAAAAACAGAATTAAATAATCTGCTACTAAGGAAATGCATTTAAACCAGAAAGCTCTGAGAGATTCAAAATTAAAGGTGCTATAAAATTTGCCATAAAATTAACAATATGTCACAGTTGAATTAAAACCCAAACTGTGTTGAGATAAACAAAGACATTATATTATATATTATAATAAAAGGTTCTGTCCAAAATGAGAGTATAGAAATGTGTGTGCACACACATATGCACACATATGTACCTAATAGTTCTGCAACCAAATTTATCAACAAATCTTCATATATCAAGAAATAGATGTAAAGAAATAATCGTAGTGAGATGGTTTAACAATTCATTATTATTAAATTGTAACTCCATTAAAAAGATAGAAAAGAAAGCTATAAGGTAAAACAAATTATGATACAAACAAGATTTTAAAGATATGTGGTGAGAACTAAATAATAGAAACAAAAAAATATTTTTTCAGGTTCATAAACACGTTAACCAACAAAGATGACATGCAAATTGTTTTTAAGTTGTGAATTGTAAGTCTCCTTTGCTAGATCATTCCACCAATTGTGGGTGTCCCCAAAGGGTCTATCCTTAGCCTTCTTCTCTTCTCCCTCTATGCTGTCTTCCTTGGTGATCTCTTCAGGTCCAGAGAGTTCAATTATCATCTCTATGCAGAAGATTCCCTGATCTATATTTCCAGTCCTACCTCTCTGGTTAGGGCTCTTTCGGATCTCCAGTCCCAGGTCACCAACTTCCTTTTGGGTATCTCAGACTGGATGGCCCATAAACATCTCAAGCTCTATGTGTCCAAAACAGAATTTGCTATATCGACCCTGCCAAACCTTTCCCTTTTCCCAACTTTCTTATTACTGTCCAGGGCACCATTTTCCCAGTCCCCCAGGTTGGCAACCATAATGTCATCCTCTGATTCTTCACTCAAACTCATCCTATACGCTCAATTTGTTGCCAAATCTTGTTATTTCTACCTTTGCAACATCTCTCATAACTCCCCCTTTCTCTACTCATACAGCCTCCAATATAGTGTAAGCCCTCATCACCTCATGCCTCAACTATTTTAATAACCTAGCTGGTGCCCCTGCCTCAAGTATTTTCCCATTCCAATCCATCTTCCAGTCAGTTGCTAAAGTGATTTTCCTAAATTATAGCTCTAACTATGTTCCCCCTACTCAATGGCTCCCTATTACTTCTCAGATCAAATATAAACTCTTTTTTGACACTTAAAACCCTTTCTACCTTTCTAGTCCTCTTACACGTTATCACCCTCCATATTTTCTATGATCTAGATGTATTATTCTATAGTCCGTTCCTTGCACATATCACTCCATCTCCTGTCTCTGTTCATTTTTACTGGCTATTCAATATGCTTAAAGTGTTTTCCCTCCTCACTTCTGCCTTCTAGTTTCCCTGGCCTCATTCAAAACTTATTCTAAATCCTATCTTCTGCAAGAGGCCTTTCCCTGCACCTACCTCCTTCAACTCCTAATGCCTCCCCTCTAGGATTGCTCACCATTTACCCGTAGATATCTTGTATGTAAATGGTCATACATGTGTTTTTTCTCATTAAAATGTGAGCACCTTGAGGATATGGACTGTATTTTTGCTCTTCTTTGTATCCCCAGCACTTAGAATAATTGGCACATAATTGGCACATAGCAAGTACTTAAAAAATGAAGTGGAACCAAGAGGGAGAAGTAACAAAAAAAGTACAGAAGAGCTCCAGTTCCTCCCCCATCCCAAAGAAAAATCCCTCAAAATATCCAGAAAACACAATAGACTGAACTCTATCAGGAAATGCAAGGAAAAATCATAGTGAGTCATTTTTCCAGCCCAAGTCAGCATAGGTAGACAGTCAAAGAGGCATGCAGATACTGGAAACAGGGTCTGGCTAGAAAGATGACATTCAGTACTCCTGTTCAGGGAGAGGCTATGCACCATGGCGAGAAGTCCCAGATCCAGCACAGAGGGACCTAAACTTGTATAAGATGCAAAAACAGGTGCCAACTGGCTGTTCAGTTGCTTACTACCTAGTTCCAGGTGATATATTTAGGGTGGATAGAATCTAAGAGTGCTGTTCCAGCATCAGGAGTGGTTACTGGGCCCTAGCTATGCACTGAGCAAGAAGCAAGTTCAGAAACAAACAGTAGGCTGGTGGTTTTGACCCCAGGAGCAGAGTGTGTTCTCAGTTCCAACTTCTAGTCAAGTCTGAAGCCTGCAGAGAAATAACCAGGACAAGAACACAGACCAAAAGGAAGCCTATGATCCAATCATTCTGAACCAAAAGGGTTTTCCAATTTGCTAACAATGGCTGAGTTTGGCATCAGTCCACTGAAACTCCAACCAGGGCAAGCACACAGGTCTGTAGCTCTGACCCAAATTCAGGTCAGGAACTTGCAGAGCTTATACTAAAGGAGACAGCAATTAGACGTTTCCCTGGATCAGTCTACTTTGGGAATACTGAAAGCTTTCAAGTCCTCAGCCTAAACTGTCTCTGAAAGCCTGGAATATTACAACACTCACTATCCCAAGAAAATAGCAATAGGGTTGGCCTAGATACTCCTCTTAGAAGTTTGCACAGCCTGATCCTAACACAAAGAATTTCTTAACAATTAGAATTGCCCAAATGCACAATGAACTGCTTTGAGCAGTGGAGTAAGTTCCACTCCATTGAAGGGCTTTAAGTAGGGTTCTTGAATGATGACTTGTCAGCGATGTTGTAGACAGAATTCTCTCCCAGGAATAAGTTGGACTAGGCAGACATTCAATTCTCCATCTACTTGGAAATTTTATTGCGCAATTCTTCCACTGCTGTCTAAGTGTTCCTTTGGTTACAAGAACGAGTATTGGACTTGGGAGTGGGCTCTGCCAATTACCATGTATCTTTGGGCTACTTTATTTATTTGAGATCTCATTTTTTTTCATCTATAAAGGGAGGAATTTGAACTAAATGATTTTTAAGATCCCTTTCAGGTCCAACAAACATTCTATGATTCTGGATCCCAGCACTAATACTTTCTAGCTTCATGACATTGGGGAAGTCACTTAATCTCTCTGATCCTCAGTCAGTTTTTTTATGTGTGAAATGGGAATAAGAATATTAGCACTATCTACTGTCAAGGGGTCATTATGAGGAAGTGTCTTATAAAGTTAAAAATGCAACACTATTGTGAACTATATTAACATGTTATATATCTCAGAATCTAAAGGCTGGAAGGCACCATAGATGTCATCCCATCCAACCCTCTCATTTTGCAGTTAAAGAAACTAAGGTCAAGAAACTCTTCTCTCAATGTTTTCTCTATAAGACAGTAAGTGCCTCCAGGACTAGAATTTTCATTTCTGCTTCTCTATCCTCCACGATGCTGAGCATACAATAGGTGCACAATAAATGTTTTTTGTCTTAAATTAGTTGATGACACTCACCATGCATTTTGTTACTTCTCTGGAAAACAGCATCACCCTTGTCAACGGTACCAGGGGCAGTGCAGAAATTCCTGATGTTTTCATCCAGGTACCAGCTTTGATTTTCATCAACCAGTGTGAACATCACTATAAATTCTTTATTGACATCAGTTCTGATTGCTGGATTATTAGTCAGAATTCCTGCAGGACATATTTATTTTTAATTGTGAAGTCAAAGTGAATGCTAACTAAATTGAGAAGTAAGTTTTAGCACTATGTTTCCTTGATGGTGTTATTTGGTAAGCATTGAATTGTTTTTAGAAGTCATAGGTATGTTATCATAGAAATAATAGTAATACTAATAGCTTATATTTATGCTGTCTATTGTAGTCTACAAAGACACAAAGAGAAAACATTGTTTTGAGGAGGATGTTATAGAGGGGATTTACAATTTACACTTACAATTCTGAAATTCTAAGATTCTGGGATCTAGGGACTATCTTCATTGGGCTAGTTCATAAAACTAGGAGTAGCACGGGGGGACAGGCTGAAAATTGATGGACAAAAAGAGAAACTGTCTCCTGAAATGAGGGACTGCTAATAGTCTTTGTCCAGAAATCACCACAATTTCAGGCTTAAAACTCTTCTACTTGTTCATAAATAAAGCAGATTATATCCACTCAGAAAAAAAAAACCAAAACAAAATAGGTCAGTTTGTTGTAAGAATAAACAAAAACAAACAAACAAACAAAAAATCCATCAATCTGATCATGCATTGTCATACAGACATTGGCCAAACAAATCATTTTATTTTGCTTAGTCAAATTTTTCACTTTTGAGCCTATTGTGCATATAGGCATGGTCCAGACATATCCATTAAGGCAGAATTGTTCTGAAAGAATCAGTCTAATGACAGGTCTTAAAAGATTGTGAATGGTAGTCACCATCAGCCTGATTTATTGCCCTCTTCCATTTGCAATCACATCATTATCCATCTGAAGAATTTTCTTATCTTTGAAGGTTGCAGTGTGAAAATAGGGAACACATTTTGCAGGTGACAATGGACAGGAAGCATCAGAATTGTGTCTGTTACAAACACAAGCTAGCAAGCAACCCAAGAACAGAGTCCCCCACGGAACTCCCATAGGATCATTTCTTCATACCTTTTTTACAAACCAGTAGTGGTCCTATTAACCCAGAGCATATGTCCTTTGGTGCATCAATGTGAGAATGGTAAACCCAGGTCAGACAGTTGGCATCTGCAAAAGCAGGGGCATATTCTTCCCTTGCAGGCCAGACATAGGTATAATTTTTACCAGGAGCAACCATGTCATCAAACTTATTTTTTCCAGATGTTCCATCAGGATATAGAGCTCCTAGGAAGAAAAAGAAAAGACAGTAATCACAGACTTGAAATATGGAGATATTTCTGGATTCCTTGTATTAGCCACTCAAATTCAATTCAATTCAAAGCTAAAGGCGTTTTATTGAATGACTATTAAGGATAGGAGGCAACTAGATGGTGCAGTAGATAGAGGGCTGGGACCGGAGTCAGGAACACTCATTATCCTGAATTCAAATTTGACTTTAGATGCTTACTACCTGTGTGATCCTGGGCAAGTCATTCAACCTGTTTGCCTCAGTTTCACGTCTGTAAAATGAGCTGGAGAAGGAAATGGCAAATCACTCCAGTATCTTTGCCAAGAAAACCCCAAATGGGGTCATGAAGGGTCAGACTTGACTGAAAAGTGACTGAACAATAGCATTAAGGATAGGGACTAGACATGATTTCAATGGGACAGGGAACTCCCAGGTGAAGAAACTTCCTTTACTAGAGCTGGTCAGCATCTTCTCAGCATATTATAGTCTCAGGGAGGTATGTAGATGAGTGGTTAAGTGTAAGCCCAGGATCGTAAAATCAGTATGTTTCAGAGGCAGGAGATGAACCGAGATCTTTCTGGTTTTGAGGCAAGTTCTCTGATCGATGACTATGCCATCTTGCCTCTTTTCCTATCTAGCATTATGCAAATCAGTATGGAAGTATATCAAAGAAGTATATGTCATAGTCTCTGTCAGCCAGTTACAGTTTTGTTCAAGAGATAAGATTTATGTGCATGAGATGATTAGAGAACAATTCAATTTGATTCAAGAATATTTATTAGGTCCTACTACACACAGAACACTTAGGCTATTGGATGAGATACAAAGATAAATATAGCAGTGGCTGCCTTCATGGAGTTTTAATGTTCAGTAGCTTAGTATACTAGACAGTACATGATCAAATGCTAAATTAAATATAATCAAATGCCAAAATGTATAGAAAAGACAGTAAGCATCATGAGGTAGTCAAAAAAAGAAGAGATCAAGGTGGGCTGATTCCATTTGAAGAATTCATTAATTTCACATTCCACCTTGAAGTATGGGTAGGGTATGGAGAGGTGAAGAGGCAGACAGAGGGCATTCCTGGTTGGGAAAAAAGCATGGACATGTCATAGAATCACAGGATTCATGGCACTCCATCACCAATGCCTTTGTTTGTTTCTGTCCCTCCTCACCTCCGTCTGTTAGGATCCTTAGCTTATTCAAGACTCAGCTCAGGTATCTCCTCCAACATGCTGGGGTCTTTGCTCTAGATTTCTTGGCACTGCATATATACCAATGGAATATATTGGACGTCTATTGTTTACCCCCTGCACACCACATGACCAGCCCACTTTCTTTTCCAACCATACATCTCTCTGATGATATGCCTTACAGTACTCTTACTTACATAATATTTTACTGAAAATAAACACTGCAGTAAATCAAGTTTCAGTCAATAAGCATCTTATTAAGCATTTACTCTGTACCAGGAAATATACTAAGTTATGGTAAATACAAGTAATGATAAAAACGTGGTCCCTGCCCTCGAGGAGCTAACATTCTAGTGGGAGGAACAACTTCCAAAAAATTGTATGTACAATTGTATGTGCATATTCATGATTACCATGCACTACTCTATTGCCCTCTGGGTGACTCTCAACCTTAATTCTATGGAGACTGCTATTCACAGTCATCCCAGAAGAATACTGATGTTTAAAAGATGACTTTTTGTCACAGGGAGAATCTTGGGCTTTTTAAAAGTATCACTTAATTCCAAAGAGATCATGAAAATGGAAAAGGGACCCACACATACAAAAATATTTATAACAGCTCTTTTCATGATGGCCAAGAATTGGAAGTTGAGGGGATGTCCATCAATTGGGGAATGGCTGAACAAGTGGTGGTATATGAATATGATGGAATACTATTGTTCCATAAGAAATGATGAGCAAGTGGACTTCAGAAAAACCTGAAAAGACTTACATGAACTGATGCTGAGTGAAATGGGCAGAACCAGGAGAACACTGTACCTAGTAACAGCAACATTGTGCGATGACTAACTTTGATAGACCTAGCTCTTCTTAGCAATGCAAGGATCTAAGAAAACTACCCACATCCAGAAAAAGAATTACGGAGTCTGAATGCAGATCGAAGCATACTATTTGCTCTCTTTTTTGTTGTTGTTTCTTCTTTCTAGTGGTTTCTCCCATTAGTTCTAATTCTTCTTTACAACATGACTAATGTGGAAATATGTTTAATATGAATGTATATGCATAGCCTATATCAGATTGAATGCTGTCTTGGGGAGGAAGGAGGAAAAGGAGAGAAAGAAAATTTAGAACTCAAAATCTTGTGGAAGTGAATGTTGAAAACTAGAACTAAATAGATAAAAAAATTAAAAATAAAATAGAAGTACCACTTAAAAGGACCCAAGACAGACCAGAGGGTCTACTCTGATATGGGGTAGAAGCTATCATTACTTGCTTAGCAGAATACTGGAAAATGGAATTGTATTCCTTAACATTTTAATAGAATTACACTACCTTTTGGGTAATTTCACCACTTTAAGCCTCCACTTGTGGAAGGGGCCCAGGCCAGCCATGCTTCATTACCCTCCTAGCTATGCTATCCTGTTATCTTTTCCCTTGACTTCTTCTTGTTTCCTTTATGTGTCATCTTCCCTCATTGGAATATAAGATCCTTGAAGGTAGGGACTTCATTGACTTCACATTACATTTGTTTTACTTGTGTTTGTAACCCCAGCACCTGGCACAGCGCCTGGCACATAGTATGTGCTTATTAAATGCATATTGCTTACCTGCCTTATAGCTGCCCAATTTTTACCAATATACTGTCCTCATTAATTGAATTAATATTGAGCCACTCTTCAGCAACAGACAAGTATTGAGAAGGCCCACAGCATAACTAAATCTCATTAATGCAGAAATTACTCTGTGCAAAGCACCATCTAAGAGTCAAGGTGCTGCTTTTCATTATAGTTAAACAATATAAAACTCTAAGGATCTCAGAGAGAATCCTATCACACCCCAACCCTCACATGCACGCATAACAGAAGCCTCTGATGATTTTATTTTCTAGAGGATACTCATATTTAGTAGACCAAGTCCAAGGTGTGATTATAAAGTAATGAAACTGCTTCTTTAATAAATAACATATCAGATCATGCAATCTAAGTAAATGGTGTCCCTTTCAAATTAGTCTAACTAGCTACTTATTTATTCTAACTTTGATGCTATTACTCAAAAATTTTTGGAACACTTTTTGAGGAGATGCCTTCAGATCCCGAACTCCTCAATGACAAAGGAATTTTATCCTTTGAGGGTAAACAAGTTTTAGAAAAGGCTGGTTCACATTCAAAGTCAATTCTGATGAATGGATAGTAGGTGAACCCAAATAGGTAGTATCATTTTTGGTCCAAAAGGAGGTGTAGCCATAAATTAGTTAGAATGAATGGCTGAATGGCTCATTAAGTAGTTCCAAAGGCAATTTCTTTATTTTCTGTAACTAGTGATAGTTAAATTATGATTGACTGCAAGTCAATCTTGACTGAAATAAGAAGTGGGGGTGACCACCGGTTCAGACAAAATGAATAAATAATAATGACAGCAATGACTCACATTTATGTAGCACTTTAAGAATTACAAAGTACATTATTCTTTACTGTGAAGTAAGCAGGTCAAGAATTATCATTTTTATTTTGAAGAAAGGAGACTGAGACACAAGATGCAACTAGAAAATGTCATAGTCGGGATTCAGTCATTCAGTCAACAAGCATTTGTTAAGCATTTATAATGTGCCAAGCACTGTGCTAAGCACTAGGGATACAAAAAAAAGGAGGGGGAGAAAACATTGTTCTGCCTTCAAGAAATTCACATTCAGGTGAGGGAAATAGCATTTTATGACTATGTACCTTCAAGATTTATACAGAAAGGAAAAAAATCATACAAAAATTGATAGTGATATCTTGGTACATTCCTACACTTAGCTCAAACCAATCCAATACAGTAAGCATTCATTAAGAATCTATTATATTCAAGACATTGTGAAAATACATAGCACAAAACATTCCTTGCTTTCAAGAAACTTATTTCTACTTGTTGACTACAATATTAAAATAGGTTACGCATTATCTATATCACTTGTCCTAATTGTGGATGTATTCCCTAAAGTTCTGTCCTGGTCCCTCTTCTCTTCCTCCTCTAGCCCTTAGTGATTGAAAAGGCATTGCCTTAGGCAAACTGAGATATGGGAAAGACCTTAATTTAAAAAGGACAAGGTCATCCACTGCATCCTGGGCCATTGCCAGTCATCTTGACTTTTGTCTTGCCTCTCCAATGACTCTGGAGAAGAGAGTGCCTCACTTAAATCTAATTCACTCACATATCAAGACATCACCCCTACGATGTCATTGGTCCTCTTCGAGAATGAAGAATAAACAACAACAACGCTATATTGGTAACCTCAGTGGTGTCCATCTTTATGTAGACTCCCAGATCGACATATCCCTTTTCAGGCTCTCCCTAAGGCTTCAGACATGTATCAGCAATTGCTCGTGGGACATTTCAAATTGAATGTTTCAGAGATGTCCTAAATGCAACATATCTAAAACTGAACACATCATCTTTCCTCTTAAATCTTTCTCTCTTCTAAACTTCACTATTTCTGCTAATGGCACCACTATCCTTCCAATATCTCATGTTCATAATCTTAATTCTTCACTCTCTCTCTCATTCCACATATCCAATCTTGCTGTTTTTACCTTCATAACATCTCTTGAATCCTATCCCTTTTTCTCCATTCAAATAATTGTCTCCTCAGTTCAGGTTCTAATCACCTCAATTATTGTAATAGCCTCCTAACTGGTCTCCCTGCTTAAACATTTCCAGGTCATTCTACACATTGCTGCCAAAGTAATTTTCCTCAAGCACAGATCTCACCATGTGACTTCTCTATTTAATCAACTCCAGTGGACCCCAATTACGTCTAGAATAAAATATAAACTTTATTTAAGCTGTTAAAATGTAAACTGTTTAGCTTTTGAAGATCTATACAACTTGGTCCCAACCGACATGTCCAGCCTCATTGAATATTATGCCTTCCCACACTCTGAAATCTAGCCAAACTATCTACTTCCTTACTCTTCATACACAACATTTTTTCCTCCCATCTCCATGCCTTTAAATTGGCTATCTGCTATACCTGAAATGCACTCACTCTTTAACTCTGCCTCAAGAGTCCCTCTCTTCCTCTAAGACACCATCTTCTACATGACGACTCTTGATTCCCTCAATAGCTAATTCCCTTTCCAAGATTATTTCATATTATTCTCTTTCTCTTTTTCACTGTTGCCTACTTGCTCTTCCCTGAATTTGGTATTACAAGTACTGCTTCAGTGTCTTTGCATAGCTGGTGCCCAGATTTAGAATGTCTTCCCTCTTCTCTTCTGTCTCTGAGAATGCCTGGTTTCCTTCAAAGCTCAGCTCATACACTGTCTCCTGTAAGAAGCTTTTCCTGAACCTCCCAGCTGCTAATATTCTCTTCTTAATATAATCATGTATATAGTCATCAACCAATCAAGTACTTGTTAGGTGCCAGACACTGTGTTGGGTATTGGGGATAGAAATAAAAGGAAAACAATCCTATTCACAAGGATCTTACATTCTTGTGGATGAGACAACAAGTGTATATGTAAATACATACAGCATGAATACAGTCAATAAATATTCACATATATGTATATGTATATGTAAATATGTATGTGTTTACAAAGTAGTTAAATGTAAGCTAGTTTAAAAGAAAGGGTTATTGCAATAGACCAGGATAAAGATGATGAGGGGCTGAACCATTTGTAGTCACAGGGGTGGAGAAAGGTAGAAAGATGTAAGACTTACTGTAAAGGTAAAATCTATAAGGCTTGGCAATTGGTTGTATATGGAGGATGATGGAAAGAGAAAGGTACAGGTTGGACTAGGTAGCTTCTGAAGTCCCCCCATTCAAATACCTTAGGTTTCTTTTGTATATACATACATACATACATATATTTATATGTTATTCCTTGATTTAATGTAGTCTTTGAGAGTAGAAGCTGTTTCATGTGCATCACTGCATGTCAAGTTCCTACCAAAGTTTTGAGGACATAGCAGGCACTTTATAAATGCTTGTTGATGACTGACTGATCGATTCCCAACACTAAGATTCTGGAAAGGATGACTCTGAGGTTATGAACCTGTGTGAATGGAAAGACGCTGGTGCCCTCCACAGAAATAGGTAAGTTTGGAGGAAGGGTATATTAAAGTGGGAAGAGAAGTTCCATTTTGGGGCCATCAAAGGTGATATGGGATATCCAGTTTGAGTTGTCTCTTAATGAGTTGATGATGAAAGAACAGAGCCCAGGAGAGAAATTAGAGTTGGATTATGGCATCAATCTGGGAGTCATCTGTGCAGAGATAACTAAACTCATGGGAACTTGTGAGACCATTAAGGGAGAGGGTGTAGAGAGAGATGACGGCCCAAGTCAGAACCTTGGGGGACACCAATAGGTAGGGGGAAGATGTGTATCAGGATTCAACAAAGGAAACTAAGGAGCATTCAAACAGGCAGAAGAATCAGACGGAAGTGGTGTCATGAAAACACAAGGAAGAGAGAGTCTAGGAAGAGGAGGTAGTCAACATTGTCAAATACTTCAGAAAAATAAAAAAAGTGAGGACTGAGAAAAAATCAATAGGTTTAACAACTAAGAAATCCTTGATGACCTCGAAGAAAGCAGTTTCAGTTAAATGTTGAGGTTGAGAAGTAAGTAGAAAGAAAGCACATGCAATGAACACAGATTTTTTCTTCTAGGAGTTTGGCTATGGAAGGCAAGGGAGATGAAGGACCACAGCTTAAGCAGATGGCAGGATCACATGAAGATTATTTAGGACATGGGAGACTTGGGTGTGTTTTCAGGCAACAGAGAAAGAGTCAATGACTAAGGAGAGATTAAAGATTAGAATGAAGGTTCAGAAGATTATGAGGAGCTTCTTTATCATGAGAAGCATGATAAAGTCAATTAGGGAAGAATTAAAGGATTGTTGTGTAACAAGAAGGGACAGTTAAGATTAGATAACACAAATATGTAGTGGATCCAGTGCACTATATTACCAACAGCACATATTCAAGAAAAGAGATGGTTGGACGATAGCCCAGGGTTCATTTTGGCAAAGCATGATTGGCCAGAGGACAAGAAAACAAAGCTTTTGAGAACATAGGTCAGTGTAAAATTGAACTGGTCAATTCTTGAATCACGATTGTGAAGTGAGGAAAAATGAGGCCAGGGTTGGGGTGATCAACCAGCAGAACAAGGAAGCACCCACAACTCCAGGGTGCTTCTAGGCATTCCTAAGGCTGTTTTTTCTTCAAAGCTCACTGAATCTGCCAGCAGCATCATTGGCTCCCATCCCCGGGCTCCCAGTGTCAGAACCTCTATATTTATATAGTGTTTAGAGTTTTCAGAATGCTTTTAGATACATGAACTCATTAGGTCATGTCATCAATCTAATGCTTCCTTCACTGCGGCTTTATAGCACCAGCCAGTACTGAGGGCACCATCTTTGCTATGCACTAGATAAAAGAAAAGTACAGGAAACAAATATTATCTTAAATTCATCATTTAGCAAGGGAAAATTATTGCATGGCCTGTTGCATAATTGTATTAGTATCTTGACTGATTTGTTTCCCATTGCCAGCAAAATAATACAGATTATATAATGTGTTTGGAATTATTCATTCTCTTCTTCCCAGTCATAATGCAAAGGTGAAACCTGGGGCTGAAAAGCTAGTGTTGAAATAATCTTCTGGCATCTAGAACTTTAATCTAAAAACATTCCTAAATGGATCTGTTAAGAAAACCTGGAAAGACTTACATGAACTAGTGCAAAATGAAGTAAACAGAACCAGGAAAAAAATCTCCAGTAATAGCAATAGTGTAAGGAAAGTCAACTGTGAAAAACTTAGTAACTGATCAATACAGTGGGCTACCACAACTCCAAAGGACCTATGCTATAAAATGCTATCCACTTCTAGTATGAGAACTGATGGACTCAGAGTGCAGATTGAAGTATAGTCAATCATATTTTGTCATATTTTTCTTTTTTTTTTGGAACCTGACCAATGCAAAATATGTTTTGTGTGACAGTATGTGTATAATGGGTCTTGTATTTCTTGCCTTCTCAGTAGGTGGTAGAGGGGAAAAGGGAAGGAGAGAATGTAGAGCTAAAAATTAAATTAAAATTAAAAACTAAAAACACAAACTCCTTTGTGTAGCAATGGAGTTATTGTTAGGCACTGACAGCTATGTTTCTGAAGCACGCATACACATGTACATGCCCTTGGGTGGCTTTGTTAATGGGCAGGAAGTAACAACAGACTGGTAGCTGGCTTGAACAGAAAGGCTGTATATGAACTTGCACCAGGGAAAGCCAGCATGTTTAGGGATTTTCTTTAATAATATGGTACTAGAAATGGTCAACTAGTTGTTTGGATAGTATAGTATTCAATGACAGATTAATTAACAAGATGGCTCAGATAGAGCTCTGGACCTAGAGTCAGGAAGACCTACATTCAAATGAAGCCTCACCACTTGCTAGTTATTTGATCCTGGGCAAGTCACTTAACCTCTGACTGCCCCATTTATTCATCTATAAAATGAGACTAATACTGGCACCTACTTCCCAAACTTGTGATATTAAAATCAAATAATATTTGTAAAATTCTTTGAAAACCTTACAGCACTATATAAATGCTACGTATTGTCGCTGCTGCTACTGTTACTTCTATTGTGACTACAACTATGACTAGGACTATGACTACTGCTACTACTTCTACTACTACTACTACTGCTACTGCTACTACTACTACTACTACTACTACTACTAGTACTACTAGCAACACCAACATCATTATTAAAAATCTGCATCAAGAAAGGTGGCATGACTGTGCAACATTGACAATTTATGCTGCTAGTGTATCAACAAACAGACCAAAATGGAGACATAGGAAGGATAGACGATGGAAGGAAGAAGGGAAGAAGAAAGGAAAAAAGGAGAGAGGGAGGGAAACAGAGGAAGGAAAATGGGAAAGGAAGAGGGAGGGGAAGACAAGAAGAAAGGCAAGGAGAGAAGAAAAAGTCACAAATGAAGAATTTTAATCATTTTACTATCATTCATGGTTTATACTACTTAAAATGAATCAAACTGAAGAAAACATAATTAAGCAATACAAAGGGACCAGTCTTTACCTTCTGAATCTTTTGTATAGAAAACTCCATGTGGATGCAGAGAGTAGGGTCGAGAAGCAAAGTTCTTTAGATGAATGACAATCACATCATCCACTTCAGCCCTCAATATGGGGCCTAGGAATCCAAGCCAGGGAGGTTTGGGGATTTCCTTGGAATAGGTTTCATCTGTGTACTGCCTGTAAATAGCCTTTTTGTAAACATTTCCAATCCTGTTGGGTCCTCTTTCAAGAAATAGAGTGGCAAGCCTAAAGTGAGAGGGAGAACGTTTTGAGATTTACTTTTAAAAGTTCTAACAACAATAAAAACAACAATTATAATGTCAAGTTCAAAGTCCTCTAAGGTCACTATGCCAGTTCTGCCCTTTGCATCTAAGAGAGAATCACAATATATCTTCTCATGGCCTCCTTCACGTCCAGTCATTCATTCAACTAATATTTATTGCAAAGCACTCAGCTAGGTCCTGTGGGGAGAAATTTAAGACATGTCTCTTGCCCTAAAAGAACCTACAGTCTAGAGACATCTGAGACACAGGTACACAGAAAATATAGTTATTTAGTATACAAGATCAGATGCCAAATGAATGAGAGAGACAGTATTCACAAATATGCTCTTGAGCCCTATGAGTTCAAAGAAGGCAGAAATCATGATGGGTTAGATAATCAAAGAGGACCTCACAGAGAAGGTGAAACTTTAACAAAATCTTGAGGATTATAGAATTTGAACAAGTGGAGAGGAGGCATTCTAAGTAGAGGGCACCAAATGAACAAAAGTGTAGAAGTGGGAATATACATGTCATGTATGAAGGGCAGGTAGTAGGATAACCTTGCTGGAGGAGAAGATGCCAAATAGTGAGAAATAAGTTTGGTTTGGACAGATAAATTTGAGACAGGTTATAGAGGGACTTATGTCAAGCTAAGAAGTTGAGACTGTATCCTATAGGAAACAGGGAGCCATTGATAGTTTTTGAAGAGGAAAATGGTACTATCAGACCTATTTCTTATGGAAATTAATCAGGAGAAGGTATTCAGGTTGAATACAAAATTTGAAGGTATGGAAACTATTTAGGAATAATATAAGTAGGAGATAGAAAGGCCCTGATGGGCACTGCTTAGTTGGCTGTGATGGAAATGGAAAGGAGGAGACAGATCATAGGATCCTGGATTGTAAACCTAAAAGGGACCTTAGAAGTCATCTAATGCAACTGCCTCATCTCAGAAATGGAGAAACTAGGGAGGGAGTGCGGAGGGAGGAAGAGAAATTTGGAAATCAAAATCTTACAAAAGTGAATGTTGAAAATCATCTTTACATGTAATTGGAAAAAAATAACCATTAAGTAGGAAAAAAAATTAGAGAAAGAAAGCAACTCCAGGAAGTCCAACTGTGGCACCCATTTAAACTGTGGAGAGGGTCCAGTAAAGCAACCTGCATAGGGCTACCACAAGAAGGAAAAAGACATCAGGATCTTGTAAAACCGTGGGTGTGAAATGCCTTGGCGATTTATGTTCTCTAAGCATGTGCCTCTCCACTTATGAACTCTCTGGGTCCACTTTTCCTACTGATGCTATGTATGTTTGTGGGAGAATGGACAAAAGGTTTATGGGGGAGATGTTGTATTGACATTCTTTCATTATGTCACATCAGGAAATTCCCTTGCTTTGAGCTAATTGTATCAATTAGTTGACTATTAAAAGTAAATGCATAAGAAAGAAAGAAAGAAAGAAAGAAAGAAAGAAAGAAAGAAAGAAAGAAAGAAAGAAAGAAAGAAAGAAAGAAAGAA